TGTAACTCGCCCGATAAAGCAGAATCGGAATGAGAAGTGATCGTAATTTGATCGAGACAGCAATTCATATTAATATTCATATTAATATATCAATAATACAATTGACAGAATGTGATAAATGCTAAATTTCATGCTACTATAATGATATATTACTCTTCCTAAATCTTGAAAATTAAAATAAAATGTATAAAAATATAATATAGAATAGTTTTATACAATTAAAAATATTATACTTTTTAAGTAGAATCTCTTACAAAAGTGTTTATCATATCAAATTATTTTATCACTATAATTATTAAATTTTTAATTCTTCGACTAAATCCATCATTCAAACGTACACGTAAAAAAAATACGTATCTCTTATATTAAGCCACTCTGCAACTGTGCTGAGCTCATTACTGTCGGAGAGGGCATTTGCAAACGTTTCTTTGTAAGAGAACGTTTTTTACATTTTCCTTGCATCTCGAGAATAAGAAAGAGGTAGTTTAAGCAAAAAAAAAGGCACCATAGAAAGAGCCGCCGTTGAAATCCTTAACGCGGTCGGTAGGGGCAAGTCTGCGATGATCAGCAGCAGAAATCGCGGAGCGAGGAACAGTGCGGGCATCCCGCTTGAAGAAAATGTAACGCGATAGCGTCTACTTGGCTACGGCTCATAAAACTACTCAGTTTATGCTGATGGTCCGCATCTCGGAGACATTTTTATATGTATAAAAAAAGGGGGAGGAAAGGCCAGTAATAATACCGGCGAATGGAGGATAGGCATCGAGCGAAAAGAAAGCGCGAAAATGAGAAGCCAGTTGGGAATAGGATTCGATCCTGTCGAAATGATTTTGGGCTCGTAGCCAAGCTCAAGCAGGCAGGTGTTATTCGTGCAAAATTATTCGTTCTTACGAGCGAATCCCGCTCAATCTATTACGTGATCTACTACTGTGTAGCTCTTTGCTTCGTACTCGATCGAGAGGAAAGCATGATTATTCAACAACGAGTTCGTAATTTTCAAATGATTGTTTCTGTCGTAAAAATTGAAATACTTATGTGAAATATAATTAACATACGAATTCTTAGAAAGATTTTTGCGTGAAATTAAAAATAAATTTGTCACAATAGCAATAAAATATCGCATAATCCAAAACATATTAAAACATTGAAAAATTGGGCTGTTTTTTATAAATTTCGAAATATAAAAAAATTGCAAGACAAAATGCTTGACAAAATGTTGCCCTATGATTTTAAATAAGATAATACAATCTTTTTTCAGCTATGTATTCATTACATTTTACAGCTTCCTCGCTAAGGTAAAAAATAAAATTGGATACATTTACAAATGTAATACTCGTGTATGTATACAGGAATCGAAACACAAAAGCCGCGTACCGGCGCGCCAGATAGGAAGCAACTAAGAGGATTAGTAGCCAAATGGTGGCGGGTGGCGGTAAACTGAAATAAATACAGTAGCACTCGCGAGGGTGCCGTAGGTTAAATGTAATTATACGACACTAAGTACTGCGTAATTACCGATGACAGAGACAAGAAAGAGATATTCAACGAGCACTAGACTTTTGTCTTAAACTCTGATACTTTAAAGCGATTTCGATGTATTCCGCCTAAAACTGCGATCGGCGGCACTAGACATTTGGCTTAAATTACAAGAAATAGGGAAAAGGATGCAAAATACGAGGGCGAGCCATTAAAAGTTGAAGACGCGTTAGCGCCAAACTGTTTCGACATAATGGCCAAAGTTCCCGCCATCCCGTCCCGTCCCGCGCGCGTTTTCGTCGTACCCCTTTATTATTTTATATTTCGCGGCATCGCGCGCGCCAGTTGGAGATAACAGAAATTATATCTGCGTTTAAAAGTGGAACAACTGTTAGAGACGTCGCGAAACTTTAATACTACGGCGATGCCGAGCCGATTTCATCTTTCAGACAATCCAGAGCTTTCGCCTTCGAGTCTAATTCGCCCCGCGAGTCAGTGCACGTGTCTGCCTTCCGAGGGTGGAGACGGAAGCACGCAAACATTTAAACTCGATACGAGATATATTGATTTAAATTCGACGCGAGATAGGGATGGAAGCTAAAATACTAAGATAAAAAAAACTAGAGAAGAAGAATGTCAAAATCTTTCTCATTACTTCTATACGTTATTTCTTCCGCAGAGTTCGGAGTTTGAAGATAATCGTCGCATGGGCGTTGAAATTGTACGCAGTGATTCACAACTATCGTATAAAAGCGAATCCTTCATTTATATCTGAGACAAAGTCTTTCTGTATAAAAAAGAATATTGCGGAATACCTGTCACACACAATATCATTTTTCACTATAAAACAAATTAAAAATTACACGCTTATACATTGTTATTTTGAGTTAAATGAAGAATAAAAATTATCGACGTTCAGCACCCTTGAAAGCTTAATTCGCGGATCTTTCTTTTCCATTACGCGCAACATGGGAATATTTTTCCATAAACTGTAAAGATTTTCGTTTCACATTTAAATAAGAAAAATTCCCCCCCGTTTCACACGCCACTCACGAACCATTCTGGAAATATGGAGCTGCGCGTACAGATTATGGACTATGAAATACGTGCGTGGGGATGCTCTCGAACGGCTCCGGCAACATCAACGGGACCGCGGGTAAATACGAAAAGCCCGTGATATTCGCACATGTGGGCGGACAGAGTGTCGTGCATTAGCGAGGCGTTTCTTCGCATGCGTCATCTGGGTACATACGAGGTGTACCTTGCAATTGCGGATTAGCGAAGACCGGACGTTCGCGGCCGGACGTTTCACCGTGCGCGCGTTTCTACCATCCCTATCACAGTCGACTTGTTACAAGCACGTACAAGCGCGTTTCCTCGAGCGTCCGGCAAACACGCACGGATGCATCGTCGCGGCGCGGCGCGGCGCGCGGCACGTACGTAACGCGCAATCCGCCCGCTACACGCACGTATAACCGTATATAATATAGTGGATCCGCAGCGTCCGTAATGTAATCACGGGTGACACAATTAATCACTGGGCCATCCAACCCCGCCAGGCCATTAGCGATTGCGACACAGTCAGGCTTCCGTTGATAGGCGGATGCGTTTCGCATACTTGTACACACGCACCACATGTATCGCATGCGTGTACGCATACGCGCGCGCGCGAAAGGATCGAAAAGTACGTGGGGGAGAGCAAGAGAGATCGATGCTCGTTAGGATCTTTCCCTCTCTCTCCTCCTGCCGATTTTCCGCGCGGCTCATGCGCGTGATTAATTGGTGCCATTGTATATCGCTAGATTATTACGCTATAGTAGTGGATCCCATCGATCCCCACGCTACCGACGATTGATTGGTTCCGGTGTCGCGAAATCTATTTCATAGATGCGTCGACTACGATATATACTAACGAAGCGTAGTCCCTCGTTTGCTTTAATTAGAAGCCACTTGCCTTCACATTCGCATTCGAGATTTGTAAAACTCACAAATATGGATGTGTTAATATTTTGAAAAAAATACCATCTATAAAATACGTAGAAATACGTAGAGCAATATACGTAGAATATTAATATTCGCTGCATAACGTTTTTACGAACAAGGGGTTTAACATATATATAGTGATTAATGCATTGATTCTTTTAAAAAAGACGAAGACCTAAGAGTGGTGTATATTATGGTGAAACAGATGTGTCATTGTGTATTTAAAATTATAGTTAAAAATGTAGAATGTTTTTGGTATTTGTCTAAAATTTCTAAAGGCATCATATTTGCCGACAAAACACAATTTAGCAATTTCGCAATATTTGTGACAAAATTTTCCTATCGATTTTCCATCACTCAACTCCTTTCAATAAGAGAGAAACGCGTGTTACCTCGCGTTGTTACGCAATTTCGACGCAATATACGTAAAGCTATTCAAGCCTATAATGTATGTAAGAGGTACGCATTGCTGTCAAATTGCGCTTACAACTAGGAGACTAGGAAAAGGATGCGTGGCTTCGAAGGACAATAGTATTGTATAGATTGGAATATCGATAAAATGATTATAAATATTGACCAGAAAATAATTTTACAGTTTAAATACTTTATGTAATATAAAGTACGCAAAAAATCCCTCATTCGTCTATAAATATCTCAATTTACCAAAAAACAATTTTTTTCAATTTTCAGCAATTTTCGCTTTTAATTAAATATCCATCGAATTGTATCACACGCGATTCTGATAAACGTGATATTCGAATGAATATCCCACTTTGTGTTAAATTAAAAAAAAAAATTGTAAAGTGAAACCAACAAGGGAAACATGCAATTCACGCGTGTCTATAAAACAAAGTTGAATTATATACATGACTAATTGATGCAATTTAAAACTTTGGTTTTAAAACTCGCACACACAACATGATAATTTATTCACAGATGACATGATAATTTGTAAATTAACACGCAACTGAATAGTATCTAAGCCAAACTTCAGAATTATGAATTATTAAATTAGTAAATCTGATAATTTTAATAAAATAATATTAAAATACGCGTATTGATTTTATTGCATAAATTATTGCAAAACGAGAACCAAATTTTTCACAATTTAATATCATAATTATGAACCATTAAAGAGCTCGATGTTAAAGCTACTCGTTTGTTAAGCAAAAGATCCGGAGGTTTAATACCTATATGCCAATTCCGTACATATAAAACTAAGAGTTTTAAATGCAAAAATTTTCATTTTAATGGAAATACAATTTATAAAACGTGAATTTCATTCCAAGACAACTAGAGATAAACAAATCGCTGTACTGTGTCATCTCTCTTGGAGAATAAATATTTCCCAATAATAATACTATTGTAAATAATATTAAAAATAAACCTGCTTCTTCAGAATGCAGATTGTATGAATCAAGTTTCAAATTGCATCAAAGCAAGAAACAATCTCCTTTTTTCACAAAAACTGTAATTATAATTAATTTTGGAAGCTTAAACTACACCCAGAATTATGACGTAACGAACAAACAATATCAAAATTATTGTTTGAAACTAATGTATATTTTGTAAAAAAAAACATTTTATTTTCTCATGTTGCATTTAGAATGCAACAGTCTGAAGTATAAAATATTTTATGTACATCAAAAAAGTCCATCTACAATGTTCAGATGGATCACACTTATCCTAGATTTTCAGTATTGGAAATTCGTACCTTCTATCCTCCGTGCAGCGTCGAAATGAAGAGTACTCTGTCCCGCGGGCACAGTTTATAATCGCCTTCACCCTGAAATTATACTTCTTATATTCGTAATCAATCGTGTAGTGCGAAATATGACTAAAAGTTGACATAAAATGACGCAACAAGAAATGGAAGCTTTAAGAAAATATTTTATCTCATATGTATATCGGTCTACGTATTCTTTCAAAAATTTGAAATTGATTTTACTTTAGCCAAAATTTAATTGCATGTTATTTCTTCGTACAATTTCTTACTGCAGAATTTTAAATAAATACCTGAAACAAATAAGTGACAAGAGATAATTTTTAATATTTTATTTAATTCTCAAACTACATCTCTTTGATAGAATTTATTTGAAATTATTAAAATTTCGTTATTTTCAGCTCAAAAGTTTAAGATATAAAAATCCGTATAAACCTTCAGTCATTTGTTTATAACAGTTATTGCGCCTTTTGTTATTTTGAAATCAAGAAAAAATTAGTTGATTACGGAATCCATAAATAAAAGTCTAATGAATCTAAAATGTACATCCTAATGAAGATAGACTTTGATTCTTGAAGATTTTATCTTTAACTTCGCGTTCACGCCTTTGAATATTCTTTAACTATCGATAGCAAGGATATCCATTACATCGATATGCAAGATTCGAAAGAGTTCGGCTAGACTTTCACGAGCGCGACTGTATTATGAAGGAAGAAAGAGATGCGGGTAGCAAAAGAAGCAGGCGAAAAGGAAAGCAGGCGACATGTATACTGTGTATATGCGCCTTGAGAAGAGAAGCGAACCGAGCGAAAAGATGCGGAAACGCAAAAGCCGAAGCTGCGCGGAGAAGCTTCGCCAAGGAGCGACGGTATTATCATAATAATGGCCAGAGCCATCATCTTTTCCCTCGTTCCGACGCTCCCCGAAGCGGTTGCTGCAGCATCTTCCCGCTCGAGCGTTACCCCGGCGAGAACCACGTCTCTCCTCCTAATAGCCGCGGCGTGTACATTTACAAATTTAAAATGATAATTCTCTCCGTGGGTGTGGCAAACCGAGATCATTTGCGCCCTTTCAGCGTCCGGAGTCGCTCCGTTATCCCGCACCCTATCTACCGCGCAAGCAGCGACGGCGATGGTGGCGGCGGTAGCCGACAGGCCGATTATGCCGTTTGTAAAAACCGGTCACGGGGTATCCCGTTTGTCAGACGCCAGAAACAGCCGTGCGTCACTGCGGGAGTTGGCGACGCGGGAAAAGAAATATCGCGCGACGAGGGGGTATCGTCCGCCTCTCCGCCGCATTCCAGATTAATATTTTAAACCATCGCTCGGCAATCTTTCGTTTTCCATAAACCGCAACCGAGTTTAGAGTTCTTGATTTCATTAATTCTAAAATGCATAAATGTAGCTTTTAACACGATCCCTTCCAAGTGGGATATTCATTTATTGTATATATATTCCGTTCAAGCTGTTTGAAATTTTCGCTACTATATAAATACAATATCTATTATCATAACATATTTCATAAAATTAATGCTTTAATGCTTGTATAATATATATCCTATATGATGCAGTTATTATATCACGGAAACATTGTTACCTAATAGTAATAAATTTGTATAGTTTTATAAATATTTATTATACAATAAACAAAACTATTAGTCTCCATAACGTGAGGCATATGTGATTCAAGCGTCCTGAGCGGAAAGTTACCAAAAAATAGTTAGAGAAAAAACATATTGAAGTTCCGTGATTTTTATTAATAATCTGCTTTTCTTCTATTATTTTCGGCCTAGATTACTTAATCCAAAAAATATTTGGTATCGTTCTTTTCTGATCATGATTTTTTCCGCAATTTTTCGTTACAAGATGTATTCTAAACGTACACGCAAGAGAAAAGTGATCTCGAGGTTGGTATAAAAAATTATACACGGAATAAATATTAAAATAATATCTCAACCACAAAGAATTTATATGAAATCCCTGAGAAAATTTATACATACGTTGAACAAAAAAAATAGTCACTTTTATCGAAATGCCTATTTAAATCCGTATTTAAATATATCTCTCTGCTAATAAATTTTTAATAATTTTAAAAAAATCTAAGAATATAAATCTCATCTTCAAAGAATTCATCCGTCGAATACGGTGCATTAACTTCTCATATCAGTGTGACGACTTAAGAATCACGTAGCTAAGTAATCCATTCAATCCTTTTCGAATTTAAATCCGTCTGCCATTCTTCGTTGCGCATTTAAATCTATATTTAAAAGATTTTCCTCAAGAATGAAGTTTTAATAACTCAACTACATTTTTAGGACGTACACCAAAAATTTATCTTAAAAGAAAAGAAGGGTGTTACGAAAAAGCTGATTTTTACCTCGCTCGCGGAAAGTAAAATTGACATCGTTTCTTATAGTTTTTGAGACGAGGAATCCAATGGTGCTAGTTAAAATTATGTCACATGTCGGGAACACATCGAAAATTGAGTTCAAAGTCAAAACTCAATTTTCGATGTGTTCCCGACATGTGACATAATTTTAACTAGCACCATTGAATTCCTCGTCTCAAAAACTATAAGAAACGATCAATTTTACTTTTCGCGAGCGAGATAAAAATCGGCTTTTTCGTAACACCCTTCTTTAGTAGAAAAATAGAAAAGCAAAAATCAAATCAATATATAAAAATTTAATCTTACAAATGTTAAAATATATTTAAGAATTTTACAATGACCACAAAATTTAATAGATAGATAATATTAAAATATTATTCCATACTAATCGTTTTACACTCTCAATAATATATTGTTTTACAATTATCCATAACTTTGCACAAGTTACACGAAATCTGATAATTCTATGTATATTTAATAAATTCAATAATTCTTATTTTGCTCGTAAAAAATAATTTTGACTAAAAGTTTAATTAAATAACAAAATAATGTTCTCTTCAATTTTTTTTACAAAAAGCGATAAAATAATCATAGAGTTTACTTGTTTATATTCATCTAATAATTTAAATACAATTGAGATGCGCTTCGATATTTTTATTGCAAAGGCATCAATTCCAGATTGACTGAGGAACATGCAGTTAAGAGGATGCAGATGTAGTTTTTGAAAAAAACGTGTACTTTATAAAACTTTCGTCAGAAGAGCTTACGGTCATCGAACACATTGGCATTCCATTTCTCGTTATCCCTCATAAAAATCGTTCACATACGCATACCTGTACCCCGATTCTGTAATTCTTAGCAACAATTCGGTATCGTTATATTGTCGTTGCGCAGCTTTTTTATCATACAAAAAATATCTGCGCAACGACAGTACAACGATACCGACACTGTCGTTAAGAGTTACAGAATCGGTATACCCTGATATCCGAGAAGAACGCTACATAATAAATGAAATAGACGTACGCGCAAAACTCACCAGTAATTCCCAGTCGGCGTCGTTTACTAGAACCAGAATGCCCGGCCTCCTAGACAAACAAGATAAACTTCTTAAATCGAGTTGCGCGTTTTACCGCTGCCACTGCTGCAGCTGCCAGGCAGGGTCGCGTAGCGTACTGTGTGTTAAAAACTTATAGAGCCCGCATTAACTCGCTCCTCACCAATTACGGAAAGTTAACGTAACAAACGCGAAACGAACGCGACACGATGAACGAACGAAAACCCGCCGCGATCATTCATCGCGCAAAACTCACTCGCACTGTCGCTCGCGCTAGACGCACTATCAAGAATTTCAAAATGGACGTCGACGTATCGTCAGTGTCGTTCAGCCGATTGGCTGAAACTATTCGAGTCGAGCCAATAGAAAACGAGCCAATCGACACGATCGCGACAGCTGAACTTCATTTAATGCTCCCTTAATTCTCTTCCATATGCTATTTGAACATTTTGATCTCGATTCGCGATTTTTGATATTTTCTTTTCCTTTTTCCTTCAAACAAAATGATATCATCTTAGCACATATGCGATACTAATCCGATAACTCATACAAATTTCCGCGAAATTGCAACGATGACGAGACTTAATTCGATTCCTTCTCTACGATTTTTTCTGATTTATCGTACAATATAAATTAACAGACATAAAATAATATACACTAAATCGATAATTAGGATATTAACCGAACTAAATCTCATTACTGCGATTTGTTCTCTCTCCGTTCGAGATCGCGGCGTGAACACTGGCAAAGATTTATACGTATATAATATAAAATCTTGTTATATACAATTGTAAAAAAATGTATGTGTATCGACACTAATTTTATATCTTTATAATGAAACATTGATTTTTGAATATTAATTTCTAAAAATAATAATGAAACTATTCGCATATAAAGTGTAACGAGAGTGTATGTATACCTCGGCATAAAAGTGTAGGATTAAAGAATGAGATGATTGCGCGACACCATCTAACTAGTTGTTGCTTGCCAACTTGAAGAAACTCAACATCAGATCGGCATGATAGTGACATCTGTGCGTAATGCCCGCGACCGGCGCGAGTGGCCGCCATCTTCGTTTATGATGTCGGTCGATTCCATTCATTCACGGGACTGTGCGCCGCGTAGCGTGACGCGTTTACGCGCGGAGAGCGAACCTGCGATTCGATCGGCGTAGTCTCAGCACCGCGTTGCTAGAGCTGTTTAACCTTATTGCGTTTTCGCGGCCGCGAACGTCGGCAGCGCGCGCGACTCGCGCGCAGGTCGAGGTTAACGACCACGTTACACAGGTTACACTTACACCGTGTCGCCCTGCATGAAGAGTTCCGGTCGCTCCGTCAGAAGGTTATCCCGCAGCCAGCGCAGCAGCCGTTTCAGCGTCCCTGCGCGGGGACGTCGATTGCTTTATTATTAGCGAGGACAAAGCCGGGCCACAGGGCTGATACATAAAGGACTCTGAACGTGACGATACTTACATTCCTCGCCAGGTAGGTCCACCTCGTGCCGCTTCCTCCCGTCGAACAGCAACTCCGCCCCACCCCTGCGAAATATTCAACATTCTTTGATCTGTTCGTGTCGCGCATACGATAATTGTCACGTCACGCGTATGGAATTTCAATTTTCTCGAACATTACCCGAATTCGATGGTGAGAGGGAGTCCAGTCGCAGACATCGTGCGCCAAAATCGAAGATCGAAGCCAATCGAAGGACGCTTCTCTCTCTCTCTTGCTCGCTCGCTCGCTCGCTCTAACGAGGTTAGGAATCGTATTTCCACGCACGCCTTCGTGCAGCGCCTTTTCGAACCGTCGACGACGATCAGTGCGGAACGTCGGGGGTTCGTCAATGTGCGAAAAAGAAGAAAAGGAGAAAGGCGCGCTATGAATTTGCAATCATATGCGTCGAAGGCCGGGATCGATCGTCGTAATAAAACAAATCGAAAGAAGCTGTCGTGCGTGTGCACGTATACACACAGTGGAGCGAGTGATTCCCTATGTAGAGACTACGTGGGAGCGCATGCGCACGAGTGGCGTTAACCTCGGCACTCACGGCGATGCGTTTGTACAGATCGAGGAGTTACTTTCCCGTAAATTCAAACCACAATTTTTCGCTCGACGTGTCACTCGAACTCCCGATTATTATCGCGCGGACGCGTGAAGCGAGTTTGCGGGTGAAATAAGACAGGTTAGGTTTGTTCGGATTTTTGCCATCGCGTATGTATGTTGTGTGTGCGTGTGTGTGTATGTACGATCCTGTGGACATGCAGGTCATTAATCTTGCGAGGATAATGGGCTCGATATTGAGGGAAAGAGAGCTCGTCTAACGGCCGATCGTCCCTTCCGCTGGCAATTCGCATTTTCAAGTAAGAAGTCGCGGATTATTCGCGACGACATGTAGTAGTACACGACGCGACGCAACGATATTACGGGATATCCAAAGTCCGGGTCGCCTGTAATGGCGGCTGGATGAAAAAGTGTTTTCCATCGCGCGCCACATGCCTTTCGCCGGCCCCGGCAGGCGCGTGAAAAATCGGAAATATTATAAATATCGGAAGCGACGTGTCGCGATGTCGCGATTCACGTTTTCGATCGATAGATTAATCTGTGATTCTTTATCACCTGTAGTTTTCCACGATGTCGGAGAACAGCGAGCACTCGCCCGACGACACCGAGACGGAGACAAAGGCGATGGAAGAGCTTCCTAACGATTCGTCCAAGAGCGAGGCGAAATTAATGATGAATCAAACTGGCGCGGCCCTGCTCGAGGACGAGGAAATGCCGACGTACATCAGCGTGTCCAGTACCACAAGACCCGACGACTCGGACGGTGTTAATGTGAAACAGTCTGAGAATGAGTCGCAGGAGGTGGAAAGGGAGCGTAGTTCGAGTCCGTATCACAGTGACGATCAAGCACCGAGTAGCGTGTACGTTTTATCGTCTGAGGAAGAAACCGATCAACATCCTTATAACGACGAGGATGACGAGGATGATTATGGAGAGAGCGACGGTAAGTCGGATGAAGAAACTTGTAGATAATGAGATAATTGGTTGACTCGACACATATTCTCTCAAGTTGACAGCCAACATCTTTGCACTAATATTGATATGTCACTGTATATCTGTTTGTATGTATCTCTATAGAATAATCGTTATATTATGTTACAGAAATGGAAAATTTAGAGCTTGACCATGAATTTGATTCGGAACATCCAAGTAAGCATTTGATGGATGACGAAGATGATGACGATGAGGATGACGAAGAAGAGGAGGAGGATGATGAGGACAGTCCTAGACAAATGCATAACATTGATGATGGTATGGACGATAACTATGAGCCAGATTGTTATGAAGGAAGATCTGATGATTTTGTCTTAAATAAGAGATTAAAAAATCAAGACAAAGAAAAGAGTCTATCTCTTCAAGATTTGAATACATACAAAAACACTGTAAATGCTGAATACTTTAAAAGAAGACGGGTTTTAAGGCCAAATTATGTAAGCATTCCAGAAGCTGCTATATATTCCTTGATGCAGAGAAAGCAATCAATGCCAGGAAAATATCATCATGTGCAAAGCAAAGTCAAACGCTATATCAGAGACATAAAGGAACAGAACAAACGTTCCCTGGAAAAACATATGAAACAATTGTATCAAGACGAAATGATGTACAGTAAAGGCGACACTGATCATAAAAACATTGATGCAGAAAAGATTAAGCCTACAGTGGCCAACAAGACAATAAAAGATTATGCCGAAAGAACGATCAAGGAATTGGAAATCGCAGAAACTTGCGATAGTAACGTGGCGACCAAAGCGACCTACAATGCTACTACTTCGCCAATAATATTAAATGGACAAGATAATAAAAACTGTTTAGAATCGATACATGAAGAATCCATCGTGCAGAATGAAGTCGAGATAAATATGCCATTCGAGTCAGCACAGAACGAAAGAGATCTTATAAATACGGATAATAAGGCGCAAAAGCAAAATGGAACAATTGACGTTAAATCATTAAAATATAATTATCCTGATAAAGAAATATCACATTTCCCACCTTCATCTCTTATCCAAAATGGTCATCAAGAAGTACCAACGGTACTTTACAATTTGCGAACTTTAAGTTATGAGGAGTACATGCATGGCACTTCTGATTCTAGTCAAAAAATTGATTTAAATAGAAATGCACATGTTATTGAGCAAGAACACGGTCAACCTGAGGCATATAATGCAGATCTAATGGATATATCCACAGATAATGAAGATACTTGTCCTTTAAGAATTGAGAATATAAAAAGCATTAAGACAATGTCAGAGGAAGCAAAAAATAATAATGAGCAGTTAACTTTTGAGAAAACAAATGAAGAACTCAAGACGACTTTGGATCCTTCAGAAGTTACCACATTGAAAAGGAAATTAACACAGAAGACTGCAAAATACAACAGTTTGCTTGATACATATCAAAAACAGCTTATGGAAAATTTAAAAATGAAGCAGGAGTTGGATGAATTGAGAAAAACATTAGTAAAATACGAGAAAGAAAACAAACCTCCGGAACAGAGGGAAGTATCAATTCAGACTGATATTATTATCGATTCTGCATCCAATCAACACCAAGATCAAACCGAGCCTGTCCAGCAATCTAACAATAAAATATCAGGTAGTAGTGTCGCTTCGACGCTAAGCTCTATAGATCAGTGGAGTTCCAGTGCTTGTAATTTATCATTATCCATGAAACCACCTGAAGTAACAAAAGCATTACAGTCTGACGATAGTGTGGTATTAACTGACGGTACACCAGCGAAAACAACACGTTCACTGTCACGCGCATTTATTACTTCGTCCCGAATCTTGCAAACACTTTCAAGTATCACACATGGGAAAACAAAGCCAGAAAGTCCATTGGTACAAAATTCAAAGAAAAGATTAAATGAAAATGTATCGATGGATCTGCAAAATGATGATAGTAACTATCAATGTCTACCTTCTAGCTCCAAGAAAAGAAAAATTACAGACATTCTTCCACCATCTAATTTTCTACAACCTTTTAAAGCTTTCCCAAGTTCTGCAGAATCACATGCAAAATTAAATGAAACGCCTAATACAGAAGCCCAGTTAAAAAATTTATATGATTCGGTGAATAAGAATGTAGATTTGCAAGCAAGTTCATCTAATGCTAATACAAGTCAGTTAAGAGCCGATACATCTACAATGGAAAGCAAGATGGAAACTAGCAACGATCCAGAGGATAATGTAAAATGTTTTGTATATCGCGAAGACGATAACAGTAAAGACCGTAGTTTTCTAATTTTAGCAGAGGAGCCTGAAAAGGATAAAGTTCTTAATGAAAAAGGACGCATTCGTGAATGTGGTCCGTACTTGCTTGGTAATGTAGAAGTAAGAATGTCTGAAATAAACGGGACGATTAACATTTGGGGTAAAGAGGTAAGTAACCTTATAAATTATAATTTAAGAAAAAACTTGTTTCAAGATTTCGTCGTATTCAAGGTAAAATGTATTTTTCAGATCAGTCAAGAGTCCACCGCTGAAACTGAAAATGATACAGAAACATCTACTAAAGTGAAAGATAAAAATTATCACTGTTGGCAAAAGACACCGTATACCAAATTTAATGGCAATAATTTAGTATGTTCAACAAGTAAAAAATCAAAAAGTCCTCCTAAGTTTGATCTATCTTCAGCAACATCCAATTCATGTCTGCAGTCACCTTCGTTTAACATAGCAAAAGCATCTTGTTCTACAGATAAAGCAGATAAATTGTATAGTCATTCAAGTGCGTGTGAAGACTGTGATCTCTCAAAACATTGTAAAGAAAGTTTAAGATACAAACGAACACTTTCCCAAGAAAAATTACATTCCTGCTGCATTCACAATATAGACATGTCAGAGCAGAAAGGCAATTGTTCCTTGCATAAGGAAAGGCAAAAGTTTGAAGATAGTTTTAATTGTAGCAAAGAGAGGTTAAGTACTCAGGAACACCGACAAAGTTTTTCAAGAAACCTAGGGCCTAATAAGCATTTACATGAAAATAATATCGCTGAAGACAATGAGCACATGTGTAGAAATTGTACGACGTGTCATCATGCACCGCATAATTCAGAGAATTATCAAGAAAGTCACAAATGTTGCGACATGTTAAAAGAAGCTTGTGAGCCATTAGTAATGAATACAGATCGAGAGTATAACGAATCATGTAATCACTCGTCTTCTCATATACACGAAGAAGAGCCATTAATAACGCTAAAACAATGTAGCGAAACACCAGAGGTAAGTCTATGAAATTTTACGAATATTTATATATTTTATATTTTTATGAAGATGTGTACGACTATAACTATTTTTTCTTTAGACGAGACGACGAAGATCAACTGGGAAAAGAGTACGAGGAATTTTAATGGATCTTATACGAGGGTGCGGAGATTGCTATAATCATAATGTATCCAGAAGTAGCAAAAGCTGTATGCATAAGAAGTTAAAAAATTGTTCTCCACAAATCAAAATTTCGCCGTGTACATCTGCAGAACCATCGTATTCAAATCCAGGACAACCTGTTGGAAGGTATGCTTTCAATATTTTCACATTTATTGAAAATTTTTTAATGTACAATATTTTAGAATTGTAGCACATAAATAACATTATTATTATTATTTATAAAATTTAAAATCTTTTGTTAGCAAAAGTCGAAGTCCAAAGTTTGTATAACAATACATACAACAATAATACATGTATGCATGTATGTATTATTGTTATATATATTTTTATACAAATTTTAAATTTCTATTAGATTCTATTATATATATAATTTTATTTTAGATTACATATTAATATCAAAATTATTTCGCTTGTTTACAGATGCTGCCATGCTTATGCACAGCGAATTGAATCTCAACTGGAAGAATTTCGAATGGAAATGGAAAGAATGCGATCGCGCTCGGATGCTATTCTTAATATGCTCAATATGCTTCATTCAGTGGATACGAATTAAAAGAATCCATCTTAATGTTAATTTTTTTTTTTTTTTCATATGTACATATCATATTTTTATCGTTTACTTTTTTCTCGTAATGGAACTGTCATATGGACGCCTTATTATACTTTATTGCTTATAAAGGAAGTATAGTCGATTTGTTAAATAAAAAATATATATATAATGAAAAAGATATGTTTACATCCAATATATGCATATCTAACAGTGCAGATAATGCCACTTTTTTTGTTAAAATTTCTAATAAGAACGCTGTGTATCTATACATTCATAATATATTTTCCATGTGAAAAAATTAGTCTGTGTGAAATAAGTATATAATAAGTATTATATTTAAGTCATGTGTTAAGAATAATAGAATAGGTAATCGCCATACAGTAAATATGCATAACTCTTAATTTTTTTTAAATATATATTTTAAAGGTGTCGTTCACAATTTACATACTTGTAAAAAGAATGACAGTGTAATAATTAATCATTCGACTTCGTCAATTGTATCAAAATGTCATTTAAAGTATAAATGCATAACAAGAGAGGCTTGTGTGCTACGTTGAGTAGTATATTTTAATTTCGTTATATTGAACCAAAATATATAGCTTTATTATTGAAGGATCGTGTGCACACATTTAATAATTGCAATCGCAGGTATCTTCCACTGGCAAAGCATTTGTTGGTGCTTCTCCTTGGCCGAGAAAGATATTACTGTACGAAGTCTTGAGATAGTTAACGTGGCCTTGTAACGACTTTATACGGCCTTGCGCGTGTTTAAATGCCTCGTTCAAGTTATTTATTTGACTCTGCATCTTTTGCCTGATCTATATACATTAACGAGAAACGTGTTATAAATACACTCCTGTCCATAAACATTTCCACGTCGTATTTACAATTGTTACCTCATCTCTATCCCGTTGGGCGGCACGTGCTGTTGCTCTACATTGTGCCAATTGCCTTTCCATTTCGGCGATTTGGCCCTGCATCGATCTTCGCATGGTTTCGCATCGCTCCTTTGTTCTCGCTACTTGTCGAGCGGAATCTTCCCTTATCTTAAACAGAAGGAGATTTTAATATTCGCAAATATTTTTTTTTATCGCCAAATCGATATACCTGCTCCAACATTGATGACAACTGCGTGTTTTCGTGCATTTTTTCGTCAATGCGTTTTTGCAACTGTGCCTCGTGTTCCTCAAATCGCGCCAATGTGTTTTTTATTCGTTCGTTTTCGTGTCGTAACTCGCTGCATTTTTTTTCCATCTCTTCGGACTTACCCGATCCGAGTCCCCTTGCATCCTATATTAAGCAATTATTTTTAATTAAAATAAGGAAATTTCTGTGAAGTTGTATGGATTACAAGCTATATAACAAATTACAACCTGAAGCGTCTGATATTCAGTGCGCAATACGTCCAATTGATTTTGCAAAGTTTGAATTTTATCCTTGCATCCTAATAATTCTCGCGACAGATCCTCGCAGCTACGTTCGGCGACTAAGCGCATCTGTTGCGCTTCCTGCATCTTCATTTGCATTTGTTTCAAGATATCGGGCAACGGTGCAAGCTCGGCTAATTTTTCTTGAAATTGATTCTGAATCGCATTAACATGTATAAAATGAAAATATAGCTTTACATAATCTGAATAGTAAATCGCAATAGAATGAATATTTGATATACTTTAACACGTCCGATTTCTAAAGTAACATTTTCATTCATTCGCGCATTGTCCATTTCCATAAGGTCCAGTTGTCTGCGTTGTTCTTCAACTTGTTGCTGGGCCTAAAATCATATTGATTTTATTTTTATAATCGTTTACGCTTGAGAAAAAATGTCGAATATAATTTATTCAGAAAATCGCAACACAATGACACCAACTTGCAAATATTTATTGCGATAATCCTCCAATTGGGCAGCTTGATCTTGAATCAAGGAACGAAGCTCCTCTAATTCATCTTGTGCTTCTCGAAAGCGTTGCTTCGCCACCATCAGAGCTTGTTCCTGTTCGATAAGATGTTCCTTATGACCTGTCTCGAAATTAATATGCTTTTTGTTACATACATCGAATCTATTTAATAGGGGATTTATGTACCATTTTTCTATGGCGAAAAGTATTACCTTCGAATTTTCCCTTTTCCGTTTCCAAAAATTTCAATCGCTCTTGAACATCTATCAGTTTTATCTCCATTCGTTCCTTCTCTTCCCTTGCATCGCGAATGTCTTGCTTGAATTTCTCCGCTTCTGTTCTCATACATGATACCTCGCACAATTTGCTTTTATAATCATCCTGAAGACGGGCGTATTGTTCACGAAGATCGCGTAATTGCTATTGAACGCAAGTAATGGTAGCCTTCGATCATAAATTGTGATTATTCAAAACATACAATTAAATTCGTTTATAATCTTACTATGGCTGCAGCGTTTGTGGAAGAAACAGTGCCCATCGGAGGTACAGCCTGCGTAGTCACCTATACATTCAATAAAAAATATATTATTCTTTGCTTAATAAATATAATAATTATATATTAAATATCAAAAAGAGATATGCATATGATAGGAACTGCAGATATTGCTTGAAAAGTGAATATTGCTTGAAAAATTTGAAATATAAACTGTATAGATGCCTGGGCGAGAGGTACCACGGAGGGTACTTTTGACGGAATAGTTAACGGAAGTCCTGGCGCGGGTGTCACGCATGTCGAAGTTGGAGGTGGACAACAAGCGCACGGTGCACAAGGTCCTGTACATTTAAGCAGTTTTCGTTGTTGCTCTAGTTGCTGCCGCTCCCGTTGCACATTTGCTAATTCCATCTGCATGTTACGCACCTCAGTCTCCATACTGCCTAATTGTTGTTCCTGAACAAGTGAATGAACCGATATTGCATTCTATAGATTTAATCAATCAGCTTTTAATTCATTTTTTACAAAATACAAGATAATTTATTATTTTGCCATATAATTAATGTATAAACAAAACTAAATGAAAAATTGATCGTTTCGAAACAAAATATATATAAAATACAGTGTTATCTTTTTTCACCGGTTGTATCACGATTTATCAGACACTGTAAGTAAGAAAATATATGTAAAAATATTGCTTTTTTTCAAAAAGATTTTTTAAGCATTTTTTATAACGTTCTTGACTTATACTACTTATTATAGAAAAAAAATCTTGTTAATTTCCAGTACTTTTTAAAACATACTAATTGTTTAGTGCTAGTGCCATAGGTCGCAAGTTTTTCTTCCAATTCTGCAGGACATGTTCCCCGAGGAAGCAATGACTTGACAACGGTCGGACCTCGGGAACACATCTCCACGTTGCTATCTCCGATATAATCGTTGCGATCCTCTGTTGGCGATCCACCTCCTGAAAGCCTTGGTGAATCTGCAAGATTGAACATTCTTTTTTTATTAGGAAAAAATTGTTTATCATCTTCGCAAATCTTTCTTTTTACAACAAATATCTCGCTCCTACCGCATTATTTCTTAACGGTCAAATTACGTGTTTTGTCAGTTATATTCGTCTTACTGCATGCGGTTTTCGTAGTTGGCGATAAAGGGTCAGTGAGCGGTGATTGAAAACAGCATTTGCATTGACAATAAACGTCGTCCCGATGTTGCGCGCTGACATGCGGACGCGATGATAACGGCGGCGACGTTGACGGAGGAGACAGAGTAACACCTGGACAGGTGTAACAGCAAGTAGGCCTAATCACTAACTGATTTAGAGTGGCTAATTGGCGGCTCAACTCCATATTCTCTTTGACAATTATACGCATTTCTGCTTGCAGGCCGCATACCTTCCTCTGTAAACTTTCGAGGGCTGTATCTTTTTCTAGCAAGGCTTCTTCTAACTTGTACCTATTTGCAGGGTAACACAGATTTCTATCCAATCTTCATTTTTCGCTTTATTTTAATATCAGAATACACGAGATAAAAGAAATACGAGATAAAAAGAAATCATTCAAGAAATGATCATTAATGTGCACATTTAATTCATTGCTATGAGATTAGTATATTATAAAACCGGGTTACGTATAAGTGACATATGATTGACATGCTTCAATAATGAAAAACATCGTGAAATCGTCACCGAGGGAACCGTACAATTTTCAAGCATTTTATTCGATCTTCTACTATTTGTTATATATATATATATATATATATATATATATATATATATTAATAAAATAACTATCGAATATTAAATGCTTTTTTCGCATTATATCGAGTGTCCTGAAAAAGTCGATTGATGCAATTGTTTTTATTTAATTCAAAGATTTATTATATTTATAAAAATTTGAATTTAAAAAAATTAAGCTTATTCCCGAAATATATAGATATCCGAAGCAAATCTAAATTTAAATCGTAATACTATTTTATACTATTTTCTAATCACTCATATACTTATAATATATTATCAAATATTTCTTGTAAATTTTTTATATGTAGATATAATTTTTATAAAATATAAAGCACATTTACTTTAGTTGTTTAGAATTTATACACGGAAAGAACGATTTTGCTGGAAGGTAAAAATTGGATCTGAAAATAATTTTGTTGCACGGAAATCAAAATAATTTTGTTGGAAACTTAAAAATGACAAGCATTGCTATAAAATATTTTGATATTTTAGCAAATCAATTTGACTTTCCAACAAAATTATTTTTAGATCCAATTTTGATTTTCCAGCAAAATTGTTCTTTCCGTGTATATATAAAAAAAACAAGCATACTTTCCACCTTCCAGTTGCGCGTTTTCTTTAACCAATTTTTCCTGCATCGTCAAAGATTCCATTAGTTTGCCGGTTAACTTTTCAAAACACTTTTCTCTCCCCTTCCGTTCGGTATCTGCTACCACGAGTTTTGGAAGCACGTCCGTGTAGCCGCAAACAATTACTCTCGGAAGTCTAATAAAAATATGTGATCTTATGAGAGAAAATATCTTGATTAACTAACAACATTTTAAATGAATACAATGTAACATACTTATCTTCAGGATATTGTATCTGCGGTATCTCGAAGTGATCTTCTTCCAGAATTTTTTTGAATGGTTCTATCTCTTTTTTTTTTATTTCAACTTTTTCTTCACCACGTCGCCGTTCTACCTCTTCTCGCGCCTGCAATATATTTGTCGCGTTATATTTTTAACAATTAGTGCTACATTATTTTATTAAATTCATTTTATTGATACGCATTATTATAAAATTCCACATCAAGCTAAGCAAAGATTACATGTAAAGTAATTTAGGAAGAATTATACTTAAATAAAAAAATCTTTTAAATCTTTTTGTAATACTTTTTCAATTTTTGGCCTCAATTGGTCCAGTTCAGCTACTTTCGACGTAATAATGTTTTGTTTTTCTTGAATCGCTAGAGTTTCTTCTTCTGTTAACTCAGGTTTCTTATTAAGAAAATTTATTATAAATTATCATAATTATCATAAAGCCACATCGAATAATAACAAAACATTACCTGTGATAACTCGGAAAGTTCACGTTTTAATTGTTGAATTTCATCCGTTAATAGAATGCATCTCTCATTCATTACTTTTAATTCTATGATTATGTCATCGGTTAGAAGAGATGCACTTATTGTCGGCTTTACAAACTTTTCAAATTTCATCGTTTCATCTATTTCTTCTTCTACCATTTTAAAATATACTCGTAATAATGTGAGAGTGAGAGAGGGAGAGAGAGAGAGAGAGAAAGAGAGAAAGAGAAATAGACACGATTAGATATTATTAATTTATATTTCAAATAAAATATATTTTCCATAACATTAAATGAAATAGGTAAGACAAAGATTTTTTTTAATATATCATTTTCAATCTTTAATTTTTTTTTTATTTTTACTTTATTTGTACTATTACCTTCGATATCAACTTTATCTCCTTCAACTTTGATTTGGTCATCAATTTTATCATTTTCTTTATCTTTGTCATCAATTTTATACCCTTCAGTTTTGTCTTCATCAATTTTATGTTCTTCAATCTCATCTTTATCATCAGTTTTATCTTCTTTAACTTCGTCTTTGTCTTTGTCTTCACGCTCATCTTCATGATCTTCCCTAAGATCATTTATCGTTGCAATAGATCTTTCGTCTACAATATTATTTTCAACTATTGGTTTCTCTTCTTCTCGTATCTCGTTGTCTGATATTTTGTTTTCGGTCATATTTCTACATATATATATACATATATTATTATTTTACAATGTTAATAAATAAAAATATGAAAATAAAGAAATTATTACACTGAGCTATTTTGTTGATAATAATTCAAATCGTTTAGCTGCAATTTTATCGATTTCGACACTTCTAACAAGAATTTTTTTTCTTTGCTTGCCTTTATTTGATCACTTTCATTTTGTTCAACTTTTACTCTGTCATGTTTTTCGTACTAAAAAAGATTATTAATTTTATCATGATGAATTATTAATAATTTTATTAGTATGAAGTGTTTACAAGTATACAAGTTACCTCAGTTTTATTATTATTCCTTATTTTTTTAAAACATATATGAGATAATTATGAGTTTGTTGACAATAAGATAGTTTGAACAGCGTAAAATCAATTTTCTTGTTATAAAAGTATAAAGACGTATGATCAATAATTATAGTAGAATAATTAGAGTGAAAGCAAATATAAATAATACTATAAATAATACTATATATGTATACAATAGTATGATAGTTACCGCCTTGGAAACAAACAGTTCGAGATTTGTCTGTGGCGAAAAGGATTGTAGAAATAGTGTTTCTACGAGGGGTTCTGATTTCGTAACATTAGATGTTCTGATTAATTTTTGCTTATAATAGTAGAATGCTAAAGGAAATACATCGCGTAAATTCAATGGCTTCTTCAAGTTGAAGAGAGATTCAAGCGAATCAAACGCTTCTTTCTTTAGACACGACGTATTATCATAATATCCATCGTTTTGCTGAAGTTTAGAATAGCTTTGTTTAAAACTTTGTTCTTTCGAATTGTGAGTGCTCCTTGTTCTGGTTGGAAAACATTCATGCGTATGGGAATATTTTTGCGGTGCGGAATAATTTTTTGCACGCGGCCGTCGCTTCTGCACAATGGGAACAACTTTTCTACATAAACATTCTTTTAATATTTTTTTTAATAATATTTACAATCTCTTTTGTGTTAATAAAATTTATATAATTTATTATTAAGATTATATAAATAAAATAAAATATTTTAATTAAAACAATATTACAAATATAAACATAATTATTATTATATATATTTATAATGTTATAATAAAGTATTTATTTTAATATAATTGTTTAACTAAAAAATTTTAATTTTTAAACAGGATAATCCATTTCAAATGTATTCAAAAATATATTAAAAGGGGTTGATGCAAATTTAATGATAAGTAGGTTATACTTATCACACATATGATTTCCTAAGATTAATTATAAAACGCGTGTTTGATATAAAAAAAGAATAATTTTTTTAAAAATATTAATTTTACCTTCATATTTTTACCTTCAAATCACGGCCCCGTTTTTTGCTTGATCTAGCAAAATATAATGATGTATGCGTGGATCGCGCGAGTCATCTGCGATTTTTTCGTTTCAGCTGCGTAATATCGTCAAATTGCGTATGGCAATTTGAATGTAATGGAGAAATATTTTTATGTAACTGACGAAAAAAGTTGTATATATAAAATATGGTACATTATATAATATACATGTGAAAAGAAATTAAATATCTCATATTTATGTCACTATTGAATATTATGCTCACTTCAAAATATTTCGAAGTTCTTTTTATCAAATGTGCAATACGCGCGTATGTCAATTATTTTTATTTATCTTCATACGTATGTATATGTTAAGTAATAAAACAGATTTCTATAGAAACAACTACAATATAACGCGCTTAAACGAAAATATAAACACGAATTTTAGTAAAAAAAAAATTTTATTTTAAAAATTACATAAAATAAAAAATTTTCAAAAAAAAGCTTTTATTTTAAAAACCATATGATATAAAAACTTTTTAAAAAAAATTTTTTACTTTAAAAATCACATGTTATAACACTACTACTAGTTAATTAAATGGAAAACTGTAAAATTTCCGCGCCTATTTGAACAAACACTTTCCGGAGCACGCAAACGTTGTTATTAATTAATAATAATGCACTGTTATATTTATTATGGCGTCAAACTAAACTTTATTTAAGTCGCCACTGCTCTTACTTAATAAAGTTATTTTTAACTAAGACATAGTTATATTTTTAAATATAACAATGAAATTTAACTCAAAATATGAATTCCCATACATTTGAACTGTATTAAATTATTTAACTCCATTGTTTTATCAAAAGAACTATTTATTAAGTGAGAACATTGGCGACTTAAATAAGTTTCAGTTTGACACTATATATAGATTTAACTGTGTAAAATTTAAATTAAATTTTATTTATTATTCTATTTATATATATATATCATAGAGTACTTAAAATTTTTACCTATTCTACTTTGCTAATCTTTATAGCCAATCACAGCGGTTTTCCATGCAATATAATTAATACTGTAATTGTGGCGACGCTGCCGCTCCGCAGTAGTGCACACGGTATGCACGCGCCATTAATACGGCGGGCGCCATTAATACGGCAGGCGCCATTAATACGGCGGGCACCTTTATGGCCATCGTATAGCGCCCTTTCTCGAAAGCACATTCAAACACGATTTCATTACGAAAACACTATATGATATATATATGTATAAGACATTTAATTTTTCAATTTGTATTGCATATGTATAAGTATATATATAAAATTGCGACCTTTTATCTTAAGAATGTACTGACACGGAACAAAGTTGAAGACTGTGTTATTCGCCGGAAATATTTGTAATATAAAAGACATGATTTTCGAATACGCAATTTTTCTCGAAAAGTGGATCATGTGGATGTAGCACGGACCGCACCACAATTGTATACCCGCGGCGCAGAAAAGTGAATGTTGCTATGTAGTTTACATCCACTTCTTCAGGGGGCGTTAGTGCGGGCACGACTGGCACGATGGCATTTTGAGGTTACAGGGGTTACAGACAAACCGCAAAAGACGCCAGACCGGCCTTTTTAATTCTATTGTTTTCATAACAAACTAATCGGCTTTTTGGAGTATTCAGTGAAATTTATCAACGATTAACATAAGACGAAGATGATTTAATAAATAATATCATAGGTCCTAATTTATAACAGATATCTAACTAAAAAGAAGAAAGAGAAAACTGCATTGTTTATTTATATGTATAGAATCGAATTTGAGAATCAAGTAAGAGTTTAAGGTTAGAGAAAGCAATAAGTATAATAAAGCAATATATATTAATATGTATACAACTCTGAAAGAAATAAAAAGTATACGCATATTTATCTTTTCGCAGACATTTGCCAATATTTTATCATTACACATGAAAATATGGTAGAGGAGCAAATGCAAGTCGAGCAAATGCAAGAGGAGCAAGATGCAGAAGATCATGAAAGTGAAAACGTTATTCCCAACGATGTGCAAAATAATGAAGAAAATAATATTCCAGCTGAAAGCCCACAACAAAGTATGTTTTATACTGTAGTATTAGTAATAGAATAGTCAAAACATTAGGTGTCTATATTATAAGTATGTCTAACTTAATAAAATTAATTCTCTTGCAGCAAACACGCCGAGTACAAACTTGGATGTCTCGGAAGTAGACTTTGATCAGACATGTCCAATATGTATGGAAGCATGGACCAGCTCAGGGGAACATCGCTTGTGTTGTTTACGCTGTGGACACCTGTTTGGGCACAGTTGCATCCTAAGGTGGTTACAAAATTCTTGCAACAGTACGAATCGCCGTTGTCCACAATGCAATTATAAAGCCGCCGTGAAACATATTAGGACGTTATATGCGAAAAAACTGACAGCAATTGACTCTACTGAATATGACAATTTGAAGAAGAATTTGAATAAGGTTTCAACTGAAAAGAATCGTTTGCAGATGGACTTGACGCAAGCCAACATTCGTCTAAAAATATACGAGAGCGAGATGACTGGCATGAGGAAACGTATCACCGAATTGGAAAATCAAAAATCAAGAATCAACATGGATACTTGCCAAAATGCTTCGAGTCTCTCTACTTCAAGGAAGTTTTATTTAGAACAATCTGTAGAAATCTGCAAAGATGGTGGCTGTCGTGTCTTAGATTATAATCCATGGTACAAATTTCTTGTTATTTCCCAAAAGTCAACAAACCCGCTATTCAACGGGTATGGCATAAGGAAGATAGATTGCGAAAGCTTCAGTTTACGGCAATTTATTTTCTTACACACTCAGGCTATAAGAGATGTGACTTTTCATTCCACGCAACAAACAATTCTTCTTAGTGTTGGCTTCGATAAATGCGCAAAGCTAATGGACATCCAAAATAATGTGGTAGTACACACATACCAAACGGAATATCCACTTTGGAGTTGTTGTTGGTCAGGTGACAATCCAAACGTTTTTCTAACTGGTGCGCAAAATGGGATTATCACTCAGTTTGATATTAGACAAACTTCCTCTGCTATTGGCGTCTTGGAGGGTAATGGTGATAAGTCACCAGTTGTATCAATGGCAACAGTGCCGCCGAATCCTGGCAGTGGTATCGGTAGAGGTGGATTTATAGCATGTCGTTTGAATACGTGTTATACATATGAAATTAAGGACACTATCTATCTGTCTAAACAGATGTTCATAGAAGGTCCTTTTGTCTCAGTGCGCTATGATGAGAAAAATCATCACTGTCTTGTATCATCTCGTCCTAATCCTAGGCAACCATACGCAAGACACGTAGTGTGTACTATTGAAAAGAATATGTCTAACGAAGAGATAGTTACATACAATGCCGTGCATACATTCCAAGCCGGTAATTCTCAACAACTTTTATCTCGACCATGTTATTTATCTACGGAGGATGACACATTAGTCGCAGCATATTTAGAATCCAAAAATAATATATCATTATGGAGTGTAGCAAACGGTCAAAAGTTGTATAATCTTCCACTATCGGATCCTGTCATGGATCTGTGTTCATTTAATATTGAAAATAACTTATTTTTAACAAGTCTTTCTGCAAAGACCCTTAGGTTATATAATTATGGACAATTAACACATTAAATGTAAAGTACAAATGTACAAAGTAATACACAATTTTCCTCGCCATTTATTGCGCATGATATTTGATGCAAAATGCCACGATATCTTTTGATACAATGTTACTGTGACGGATTGAGACTTGAAACATACTTCTTTTCTTTGTAATATAATGTCATATATATATACATACATAAATGTTGATTAATATAAAAAGAAATATATATATCTGAAATTCATTTACAATAATTTTTTCATTCTTCTATTTGTTTTTATCTTTTGTACTTATAATCCTACAGAATAATTATAGATTGGATGTAGTTATGAAATTACATTTAGAAAAACAATTTAGATACAATTATTCAGAATAATCTCAAAAAATTACTTAAGTTTGTCATAAATTCATGTCATCTTTATCACACATTATTCCTTTGTTTAAAATTTGATGAAATTTTTATAAGTATGGATTTTTATATATATAGTAAAATATTTGTATATATATTATGTGTATGTGTTTATATTAAAGCTATTTGTACATAAAGATTAAATCTGTTGCAAAAATTGTAATATAAAAAATTTTCTCAAAAAGTGTATGTATGGATTATATATAGTAATTATATTTATAACTTTCTCATTCAAACAAAAACAAATATAGATATAATAAATCATAACTTTTTTCTTTTTTTAATGAGAAATGCAATATTAATACAGCTTAAAAGATATAGGTTTTAGTATTATGTTATCACTTATCTATTTTTGTTATCCATTGTATACATGCTCTACCCATACACACGCCCTAACCATAATTACTGAATTTAGTAATTATTGCTATGACCTATTCATTTATTTCATATTTATGTATACAACATCAAGCCATATTTGTACATAGTACGTTTTGAAATTAAGTTTAGTAGTGTTTTTAACAGGAAAGACAGTTTCAGTAATTTATTGCAATATAGTTAATTTATGAAGAAGAAATTTATGTTCAGAGAAATTTATGTTCAACTAGTTCTGGAATGATTTATACAATTCAGTATTAGATAACAAATAAAATAAAAATTTGGCATTGCATACTTATTAAAAGGTATTAATATAAAAATTTATGTACTGAGTCTATATAAATTAAGAAATAATTTTTGAAAAAATTGGATGTATGATGAGGAATAAATCTGCATAAAGACTAGAATCCAATCAGAACAATGAAAAAAGGACAATTTATTTTTTCATGATATTAAACATTACAGCAATTAAAACATCAAAGAGGATGTTGGAACCTCAACCACATCCATAAACAAACCCATATGTAGGATAATACATCGTGTTGAGCTAAATATTTAAAAGAAAAATTTAAAGCAAGTTTTTACAATCGACTGATACTAGCTATCACTTTTTTTAAACATAGGTTATGGAAAAATTAATATTACACAAACTGGTAAAATCATGATTCAATGTTCATCCTTTCACTGTGTATCACGCCCATGATTTAACATTTGATTGTACAAAAAGCTATGTGCATTTCTGCATCATATACATTATTATACAAATAATGAACTAATAAATTTTCATCACACTATAGCTGTGCTGCCTCATAATTTTACAAGATTATTACCAAGATAAACTTAATTTGCTTTGATTCTTTTTCTCCAATTATATATTTTTAAAGTAGAATTTAACCAAGGCCGCTACATAAATGCCATTTACACCTGAGTCTGGAATGTACACGGCATGATACAAGAACAAGAAGACAAGATATATCTTGTAAAGGTACATATCTGCGATGTAACAGATAATTTTATCACCTCATTTAAGCCAACACTAAAAATGTACAAGTGTAAAATATTAACATCGAAGCGAACAGGTTTATGAATCTTTTTACAGGTCATATCTTACTTCAATAATATACAAGCGGATTTGCTCAAATTACAAGCTTTTTCTACCTCAAATGAAAGAATTTTTTACACATATAGTATACTGCTTCAATATTACTTTATTTATTATAAATCAATGATGACCAAATTATACTTGATGAATTCCGAGACTTAAAAAATTTTTGTTCAATTAAAAAGCAGCAGACTTAAATAAAAAGTTACAACCAAACACTTACAATTTTTTCATATGTTTCAAAACCTAAAGTCTAATATCATTTCCCTTTTTTTATTAAAAATAAATTTAATAATGAAAAACTGATAAGCTGCAGTAAAAATAACATGTTTCTTTTGTTCTTTAATACAAGATATATATTGTATTTACTATTAAGAATGTAAATAATATATGGATTATGTGATTCATCAAGAAAATTTGTACATCACTGATATAAAGTATAGATCATAAATTATAGAAACTGTAAACGGCTCTAATTGAAAGATAGTATCATGAATATACGTATTCGATCTACTGAAAATTCAATATTCCTAATGCGAATTTAAAATCTCGAACACAATAGAAAATATGAAACGCCGATAACATAATAAAAATTCGACAATGGTACAGAGCTAAAAGCTTGTATGCATTTATATGAAATTTGTAATATATTGAATTATTACATACAAAACAAGTAATCAAGAATATATTAATTTAAATTTTGTTGTGAGATTGTTATTTTTTAAGGAACAATGGCATTTAAATAGAATGTAATGCAGTACAATCCTCACAAAATGTTTAAAATTTAGCTAATTAATTCGTACTAGCCATTTTTTTAATAATTATTTCTCCTTCACGCTTATGTTACAAATTAAATAAATGACTATTGGTAAATATTGAATAGCTTTTCTGGTAATGTCTTTTTTTCAGATATTGTCATTATAGGTGCGGAATCGCAATTGTAAAATCACTAATGATATCAATATCCGAACATGATATTACAAGGAAATTTTTAGCACAAAATGAATGGATGTGACAAATTAACTATGTAGTTATCACTAACTGAAGAGGCAGTGCTCGGTGGCGCGTTCCAAATCCCAATTATATGAAGATAGAGCGACTCTCGCATTATGTTCCTCAATCCCCATATCTGTTAATCTTCTTATCTTGTCATCTAAATCAGGCATTTTAGCTGGTCCTAGAGGATCGATATAAATTATATATTTTAACAAAAAAAAAATATATACATATATGCACATAATAAGTGCGACAATATATCACGTACCACCAGCATATACAAATGTCCAATGTGTGGCAGTTTGACGAAACAATTCAGGATGTTCTTTATATTGTTTAGCGACTACTGCATCCTGAGGATCATCAGGCTCTGCTGCAGATAACAACGCTTGTAGTGATAACAACACTGTACGCAGAGTCATTGCAGCAGCCCTTAAATAACAACAAAGATAAGATTATTTTACAAATGCGTAAATTACAGTTTTAATGCAACAATAACATTAAATTAAAAATATATAGCTAACATATAATAACAACACATAATATCATTATAATAAATAAGAAAATATTTTCTCTTTCAATAAAAGAAATTGTAAAACAGATTGAACAAAAGTTTATAATGTATAGTCGTGGACAGATCGGTTGCGACATTTTTTTTATAGGTTTCAAAACGCACTAATATTTTGCAAATGCGAACCACGATTAAGTGTTATACTGTCTCTAGACTAAAGATACATCGTAGTTCGCATTTGCAAAATATATTAGATACCTATAAAATAAATATGTATATTAAATATATATTTATAGAAACCTATAAAAAAAAAGTGTCGCAACCAATCTGTCCACGACTGTACAAGTAATTAATTATAAAATTAAATTTATAATAAAAATACATGCCATTGATCTTTTAAGATATCCAAACATATGGCACCAGTGACGGAAGATATATTAGGATGCCATATTTTTGTTATAAAACGTACCTGTAAAATAAAAATTGTATATAATACAAAACTATTGACAATTTATTCATAAAAACATAAATATATCTATTATGATTAAAATAGAGTGTAAAAATTTATCAAAGACAATATACCGATGATATATGTATATGTTACTGATTTAATAAACGTTCAAAGTAATAGATTTAATTAATATTCATTAATTAAACCTGTCACTGTTAATATTCATGTATTATATATAATTGACCTTCTTCATCGTACCATACATTTCAATGAAAAATAATAAACGTTACGAAAAGCTATGGAAATACTTGCTATACAACTATTATATTCATGTCTTAAAAAATATTAACTTACTTTAGGAGGATTGAATGGATACGTTTCGGGAACTTTGATCTCAAGCACAAAATTGCCACCTTCGTATGGTGTATCTGGTGGACCAGCAATCTCTCCCTTTAATTCGGTAAGACTATCGTTGACCAACTCAACTTTAATCGCACATTTTGCTATCTATTAGAAACAAATAAATAAAATGTTAGACGAGTTACTATAAATATGTTATAAATATCGTGATCTCGCAAATGTATAACATGTAACAATTTAGATGTATAGGATGTCGAGACACTTTCACGAGCAACTATACTTGAATGAGTAAGCATAAATGGAAATAACTTGTAAGGTATAGAAAGCAATAAATTTGTAATTTATATATAAAGAATTTAGAAATTAAAATTAGCGAATAAATATGTTGGTACAACTAGGCTAATACATATTAATTTATTATAAATCAAGAATCTATTAAACATTTGGCAGGCGCAAAGATACATTTTACAGAGTAACAGCGACAAAGTTGTGAAAATTGCAACTCCAAAATATTTGAGGAACAAATGACGTATTGACTCATCAAGATTGAAAAAGGCAAACACGAAATATTTTTGAAGAAATATAAAAACAATTGAATATTAAGAAGGCTTCAAATCGTAGTAGCACAGCGATATTTGAACTGTTTTGATATACGCGACACTTGTTTTTCCGTCGCGCATCTCTCTGTCTCCCAGTTAAAAAAAAAAATAAACAAAAAAAACATTCCAGTTACATGAACATGGATAAGAGGATATAGAAGCGACGAAAACACATTACTAAATTATGCTCCCTTGTAAAATTCGCGTGTGGTACTACGTCAGACTCGCGATACAATTATCAAAATAAACATGTAATCATAACCTATGACATCCGAGGCATGATAAGAGAAATCTCGACCGTTCCACGGCGGATAATAATTCACAAAACTGTCATGGTATGGCCTTAGTCGCGACGCCACGGCGTAAATCAGCCGTCTGAAAGCACGTGGAGCGTTATCGGCGGACAGACGTGCCGAATGCGAGGGTAAGAAATGAGTAATCTGAAAAAGTGTAAAGCCACCCAAGGATCCCAGTGCGGCCGAGATCCCGGACCCGCACACGCGCATCGTGGTGAGTACCACGCCGCTCTATCTATCCTACATTCACGCGAGTTTAATTAGATCGTCGACGTTGACGTGGGGCAAGGAGATGCTAATTATTCGCCGCGACATTAAACACACGTCATCGTCACCGCAAACACACGTCTTCGCGTACCGAGGCGAGACGCGATGTCGCGATTTCGAAGCGCAGAGACGGTCTGTCCGCCGCGAGATACGATTCGATTTCATCTCGAAACAGAAATACGTCGGGTTTTCTTTTACCCAATTCACGTCGGATAGATCTCGAAATAGATGCGAAAGACACGAAATATCCGAGTATATATACGAGTGACAACAGTCGACCGGGCGATGCGCAACAGGCACCTCGCTGTCATCACCTTCCACCCGTCGTCTGTCGGCGGCGGCCGCGAGAGAATTGCGTAATCGCGATACGCGGCCTTTACCCGGTCGCCGTAGCTTATCGCGCGAGGACACGCGCGTGTCCCCGGTGGGGTTCCGCGACACTCGCGATTACCGAGCGCCGATCGACTCGACGCCGTTCACGCTCGCACGCTCACTCACCTCCTCGCTCTTTATAACCTCTTTGAATTCTCGTTTGATTCGCTGCGCCGCGATGTTCGCCATGGCTCCCGAATCACCTAAAACGGTTAGCACGTTGTCATTGTCGCTTCGGAGAAACGAGCTCGCTCGTGGTGCTCCTGCAACGCGCTCCACGCACGTCGGCGGCGTCGCGTTGCGTCGCGTCCGCGTCGCGTCGTCTCGCGTCGCGTCGCGTCGCGTTCGCGCGGTAAAGTATCCTCCACGCGTTAATCCCGTGCACCTGCACCCGAATCTCTCGCTCTCGCCCGGACGTCGTCGTCGTCTCGCGCGCGCACGGGGCCTCGTCCCCAACCCGGTGGTGGCCGTGTACCGTGTACCGTCGTACCGTGTCCAGAAACTCACGCCGCCGTACACAATCATGCACACACACACACACACACAGACACACGCGCGCGTACGCGCGCGCGCGCGACTTGTCTCTTGGACTCAGCGCCACCGCCGGCGCCACATCGATGGGACAAAAGTTGACTATCACCCGCTCTCGCGCCCGCTCCTTTTGAATTTTGTCTAGGTTCACGTCGCGCCTCGCCGCCGCTGCTCGCAGCTGCTCGCCGCACGCCGCACCGCGCAGCGATTTGCGTATTCAGCGTATCGCGTCCCGATCGCGGCGGGATGATAAGGGTAGCACGCGTGCACGTGCGACGATCGAGTTGTCAGGATTACGCCGATTACGGCCGCCGCGTTACGCTCGCAGGATCAACGCGATAAAAGTACGTTATCAGCGCGCGCGACGGGTGGAAGCGCACGAGTGTGGCCGGTTGAATTCGGTGCAGGTAGTGGACGTCTTTTTGCGCGCTGGTACACCTCTCTGGCTGGCACTGGCGCGCGTAGCCGCGTACGCCGAGCCAGTCGAGTCGAGTAAAAGCGAATAAAAATTCGATAGGTAAAAGTTGGTAAGAGAGAGAGAGTGAGAGAGAGAGAGAGAGAGAGAGAGAGAGAGAGAGATAGCGCTCGAGACGGCGAGAGACGCTACAGTATCGATCATCGACGATATGGGTTCCCTGTGGCGAGAGACGACGAAGCGCGCGGCGGCGGCCGATGGATGTCGACGCAGTCGGTGCAGATTTACGCAATCGGTATCTTGAGCCGGAGCGATCGTTATTTTCCGCGGGAGAGTGGGAGGGCGAAGGGGGGCTGCGCGGGGGGCCGCGCGCGATAAGGGTACCCCGCTCTCCGACCCGCGCGCTCCGTTTTACGCGCTAAGAGGAGCCAAGATACCCCCGCGCGCGTAGGCGGAGCGTGATCCAACGACGTCACGTCCGGTACGCGCGCGATCACCGATTGGCCGACCGCCCCGGTGGTTTCTGTTGTAGTGATGCCCGTGTCGCAGCCAGTACGTGCCAAGAGTTTGTTACGCGCAAACTTGGAAAACTCACGCGTCCGAGTCTTGCAGAGCAGAATGCCGAACATCAAGGTCTTCAGCGGGACCTCGCATCCGGATCTCGCCCAGCGGATCGTGGATCGCCTCGGCATCGACATCGGCAAGGTTGTCACCAAGAAATTCAGCAACCTCGAGACATGGTAATGGTCGCTACCGCGCCGCAACCACGCCGTAACCACGTTTTCATTGTCAAGTCACAGGCGGCCGTGCGTGGCCGCGACCACGTGTCACCGCGCGTGGCCCGCGTGATTCTCGCACGGCGAGCCTCGTCGCGCGAACGCCGTCGCGTTTCGCGCCTTCTCGTCCTTGCGTTCGTACATTTCGACACCCCAAGTGCATGGGCACTTCGTCACGCCGCGACATCCCTCCGCGATGCGCGGATCAACTCCGCGTCAACTCCGCGTTCTCTCGCGAGACCGCGTCGCGTCTCCGATCGTGTTCTCCGGTCTCTAAACGTTCCGTTCTTCCAACAATAAGTTCTCTAACTCGACGGACGCATGCCGCGTGCGTCAATCTGCGTCGCGATGTTTCTCCGAGTGAATGCGACGCGTGGAGTCGCGTGCACCGGCGATACTCACTCTTTCCGAGCTCGCGAAATGTTCCGCTGCGAGAACGCTGCCAAGTGATGATAATTGATAAATAAGAGAACTCTCGTCGTTTTCCTTTCCACACAAAGTATGTAGTACGCATCGAAATTAATCCGATTCAGAAATTAATTCGGATTTTACGCTTATCGGGTATTATATTTACAATGCTACTAACGTTTATTTTTAGTTTGTACTTTCTAATTATTCGAAAAATTCTCGACAGCCTTGCTCATGTTCTATTGCTCCTGTAAGATATTGTAGGAAATAAAGCAAAATTTAATAATGTTTAGTGTGGAGATTGGAGAATCTGTCCGTGGAGAAGATGTGTACATCGTGCAGAGTGGAAGCGGCGAGGTGAATGATAATCTCATGGAGCTTCTAATCATGATCAACGCTTGTAAAATCGCTTCTGCGTCCCGAGTAACAGCAGTGATTCCTTGTTTTCCTTACGCGAGGCAAGATAAGAAAGACAAGGTAGGTGAAACGGATAGGGTAATATTTGTTCCTATACATTTGTATTCTATAAGTAGTAATTTAACTAGTTTTATACAAGTCAATTTAATTTTATATTCCATATCATATATGTGTATATATATATATATATATATATATATATATATATATGTACATATATATATATACATTTCAACAAATTAATAATCTGTTTAGCATCATTTTGAAATATTATTTGCAATATTTTGATTAGATTATGCTCCTGTAAAATTGTTTTTATGTTAATTACATCTTTTCATCGAGATTGCATCAGCAACATACAAGTTGTTTGCAATTTCGTAATATAGTATACGAGATAATTCACTGATATAAGAAATAAATAGTAAATATATGATACATAATACATGCATTTAGAATAAAAAATTTGTATATAGAAAAAATATGATTTTATTGAAAATACTTCCAAGGATTGTATTTCTACTACAAACTCTTATAATATAATAAATTTTGCACCTTATTAAACACTAAATTATGTATATCTACACATATTTAGAGCACAATTACGTTTACTTTAAATATCTTATTTCATGACATATAACTATAAAATGCTTAAGGCATTCTGTTAATTGAGACTTATATCTAGACAACATTACATAATCATTGCAATGTATATATGTACCTCAACATAAAACTGTATGTATATCACAGCTGCAATGATTTTTCTTTTTCTTTAATTACTATTAATGTGCATTTGAGAATTAACATATAATTACAATCTATTTCTAAATAAATACGTACTTGTAAATATTAATCTTTCCTCTTATATAATGCTTCAGTATAATGCACCAGTGGCATGGCTTCCCAAAAACATAATGTAATATATGAACTGTAATAATTTTTCCAATAGAATTTAGGCGTGTCTCGCGGATACAGGTAGTTAATATACGCAAATTGGCATTTCTCATCTATTTTATTCAATCACTTAACATATTCTGATGAAATATTTTCAGTTGTTGCGATTTATTAATTTGATCAAAAAGCACGTTTTTTTAATCTTGTTTACATGATTAATTTTTTTTTTACATCTCTTTCAGTGTAAAAAATTGTAAATTTTTGTTAAATTACAAATCAAATATTTTTTGCTTAAGAATATTTTATTATCATTTCTTAATCATTGTATCAATATATCCAGCACAGACTCAACGCTTTATATTATAATGCAGATAAATAAATGCAAATTTATTTACTTGCGTGATGTATATATTTCTAATGTCTATTACTTAATATTATCTTGAAATTTTGATAGCTAAAACAACAAGCGTTAACGGAGGAAACGTTATCTTGAAGAAGATGCTTTATATTTATTTAATGTACTATATCTTCACAGGGCGGTGATGGTGGAGACTCTAAAAATCAGATTGTCATGAAGTCGAACGAGTGGAAATTCAGGGTAACTTGCGGCGATCCTTTTATCTGTATTATTTTTAATTCTTTCATAGCTTTGCAACAGACCAATGGAGTAATATCATTTCTGGAACGCAAAACTTGATCTCATCGTCATGCGAAATATGCTTGTATTTTGCCAGCTTTCTGTTATTGGGCTGTACCCAGATAATACACTTAGATTACAGGACTTTCACCATTCGCTGATTATTGCAACTTTTTTTGTTTAGAGGATATCTATACGAGATATTTATGTTTTTTACTGTTAAGCAGCAAAAAGAAAAAAATTAATTTGTAATGGTAGCTGATTATATATTAGCTGGTTATTTTTATTTATGACTATAAATATTAAATGATTGCGCGCGCGCGCGTGTGTGTGTATTATTACGTTTCTGTCGTTTCAAATCCTTCCGTATCACGATATTCGAAGAAAAATTAATATATGAAAGAAAAAGATCGATCTCTTTTTTTGTCGTATATCAATTTTTTTTCGAGTAGTTATCGTGATATCGGAAGTACTAATAAAACTGCTGGATCCTTATTTCTTTGTGAAAAATTTCATATATAAAAATACTAGAGAGATCTATAGCTTACGTAAGGCCCATATTACATTAACGATTGACTGGCCAGCAGCTCCTTCCCGATTGATTGGTCCAAAGACGCAAACGGAGACGCAATCGTCAATCGCTAAAGTGATATGAGCCTAACGTATACGATAGGATTTTCATATACGAAATTTTTTGAGAATCAAGGTTCCAGCGACGCGATAATATATATGTATGTACATATGTGTATGTGTGTGCGTGTGTGTGTCTAAAGAATAGATACTTTCTATATAAGTGATAAATGACTTAAAAATTTAACCGCAAATATATAAAATGTATGGTATACATTTTATGCTACCTTTTTTTAAATCATATTGTGTTAAGCAAATGGTGAAATTAGTTTGAGTTGAAGTATGTATATAGGGGAAATATTAATTATACAGGGATAATATAATTAAAATATGCGAGCATTGCATGAATTATAAATGGAACTTTTAACAACATTTTTTACTTGTATAGAAACTGTAATTTTAAGTGAATAATATAATTTATATTACAAGTGAATTATACCATTTAAATCTGAAAATCAAGCATGAGTTAAGCTTTTACAAGTTTCGTTAGTCAATTAGATTTACATCATATCAAAGTTTCATTTCGAACTCATTGCTTTTAGAATCAATATATGCATATCATCTTGAAAAACACGAAAATATAGATAATTATAATATCACGTTACGCAGAGAATTATAATTTTTTTGTAATATTTTATCACTTGACGTAATGAGATGTTTGTAATGAGACAAATAGCAAATATTTTAGAATTTTAAGCACTGTAAATGCATACGTTTTAAGCATGTTATTTATAATGATGTAGGGTTATCAGAAGTTGGATAACCCAAACGATTGTTGCAAAACTCGTGCTAGATTTCTCCAAGGGAGGTCTTCTGCATTTCTGTTGTCACTGGGAATAATAATTACATAGTTAACTAATTTCTGATGTACTTAATTTTATTTTTTTATTTTTTATTATGTATTAACTATATTGTAAATACAATTCCTTACATTTTTTTTATTATTTTGTTTATTTTGTACATGTATTTATTTTAAATAAAAAAAAGTTTACGGTACTAATATTTATTTACACTATTAAATTTTTTTATATGTTTATGTACACCAAAAATGAGCGTTTTTTATTATTAATTGGGTACTGCATGAAAATAATATAGATTAAGAATTCTACAATTCAATATCACCTCCTTAAACAGTCATTAGTTCTATCATTTGTTTTCATATCTTGAGATTATTGCAAAATAAAAAATTATCAGAAAAACTATTTTGACTGTATTACTTGCTAGGACAAAAGCTATAATTATATATTTGTTTAAGTTTCTGAATAGTTGGGTATTTTCAGGATATTCTGCCCGACCTGTCTACAGTGAGTATAATAGCAACGAGATTGTCGAGAGTGCAGCGTTTGTAATGATAACTCGAACCATTCGATTTGTAATATTATTTTTGAATTCAAACAAGAAATTTCTTTGTAGGACTAACCAAACTTATAATATCGTTGCTATACAACACAGTGGTATCCCCATGAATGAATGAATGAATGAGACATTTGGTCAAAGCATATTGATATCCGAATGAGAGGGCAAAATATTAATATAATAGCAGTACATTATTGGCAATTAGTATAGTGGGGTACGCACATGTATGTTTCATTGGGTACTAATTATTGAAGCTTAATTCAGTGTTATTGTCCAAGTGCACTAATCAAATATTGCCTATCCTATATTAATGCTTAAATAGCATAGGAATGTCAATGTGTTATCTTGGTGATAACTTGTCTTGTCGATACGATAATTGTGGATAGCACCTACCTTAAAACGGTTATTGAGCTTTTATAAACCTTGTACTCATTACGAGTTTACTACGGTTTACTAAAAATATTCCATCCATTTGCACAATGCATTTCCCCACGTTGAGGACACTGTACTAATACAGATATTTTAATTTGCAAACTACTTTTCAAATTCTTTTTTATGTAATTTTGCACATACATTATTAGAGATGCACTCGCGATATTCGTATATTCTTTAGAATATGTATACATTTGTGACATATACTTATCTGTATTACGTATCCGTTACATGTTTGCCCTCTTGTTCATTTTATATTAACCTTTGCTATATAAGAGCAAAGGACCGAGATGCATTGTGTTACGTTTTGCGTTCATAATTTTAGATATTTTGCTTTACTTACGATAGTTGTTGAGAGTCTAACTGGGGTGCATTTGCAACGTCGTTTCCCTGTCAAAATTAATGTATCTTATACGAATATATTTGTATCTACTAAAGATTAATGTTTTAGTACGTGGTAATTATATTTATATTTTGTCCCCTCTGAAAAAAACATCTTTTCGGCAATCTATCTCCAATATTTAGTAAACTGTATATTGTTTCTTCCAAAAAGCCGATACAGACAACCGAGATAAATTAACATGTTTTCAAAAATTTTTATTTAGCTTAAAAGGTAACTGATTTTTTTTCTTTCGATTTCTCGGATGTTTTCATGCTTTTAAGGGACTTTAATAGCAATTTCTTTAAATTGCAGGATATTTCCAGTTGCAAATGGACTTGAAGGACTCGTACGAATTCTCGAAACTGATCTATCGAAATGTATTTTACAGAGTCGTGCGCCAATCTCCGCAAAGCTAGTTGCAAATATGCTTTCCGTGGCGGGCGCCGATCACATTATCACAATGGACTTGCATGCTAGTCAAATACAAGGATTTTTCGACATCCCAGTAGACAACTTATTCGCCGAACCCGCTGTCCTCAAGTGGATTAAAGAGAATATCGTTGAATGGCGGAACAGTATCATTGTCTCTCCTGACGCTGGTGGTGCCAAAAGGTGAATTATCCGAATAATCGGCAAAAGAAAATAACTCTAATCAAAGAGATACATCGATCATCTTTTTTACTTTGCAGAGTCACATCCATCGCGGACCGGTTAAATGTCGAGTTTGCGCTTATACATAAAGAAAGGAAAAAAGCGAATGAAGTCGCGAGTATGGTATTGGTCGGAGATGTCAAAGACAGAGTTGCTATACTTGTAGACGATATGGCGGACACTTGCGGTACCATCTGTCACGCAGCAGAAAAGCTGTTGGAAGCTGGAGCCACAAAGGTTTATGCGATACTTACGCATGGTATCTTCAGTGGGCCGGCAATTACAAGGATTAACAATGCTTGCTTCGAAGCTGTGGTAGTGACCAATACTATTCCTCAAGATGGTCACATGAAAGATTGCCCAAAGATTCAGGTAACTATTTTTTACACTCGAGAACTTTGACCTTTTTAAAGTGCTTATCGCGACAACGGTGACGGTGGTTATATATAGATTTAATCGTAAAACACAGAGGACTTATTATCTTTTATTTTTCAGTGTATTGATGTCTCGATGATGTTTGCCGAAGCGGTGAGGCGGACACACAATGGTGAATCTGTATCATATCTGTTTTCAAATGTACCGTATTAGACGAAAATCTTCCGTAATCTACTAAACTGTGTAAGAAGAACGCACTCTTTTTACATTTGTTTACATATTGTTATTGTTAGTTAAAAAACTACTTCGTCTACCTGCTAGTTAGGTATATATTCTGTGTGTCTTAATTTCAAATTAAAATTTATACTTATTCTATTTTTTCATAAATTTCTTATAACAAATACAAGATCAATCGGTACAAAACACGAACTTTTAGAAGATTAGAGATTTAGGTATGTAAGATTTTTTTTTAACTAAATAATTCTCAGAATTTCTCCAAACACAGTAAAAGTGATGTATAATGCTTTAGTATTGTGTTGTAATCAAAGAGAGTTGCTATTTCAACTCAGTATAACTTATGACATATTGCATCGTTTTTATCGGTCTCAATTTAACAAAATGATAGAATCAATCTGTTATAATGACGATCATTAGTGATTTAATGGATTGAAATATTTGTAAACTACGATTCAAATATGTCCTCAATGCACGTAATGCTCGTATAGCATAATTTGCTAGTGAATCAATTTTAGATCTGCATTATCTAAATATAAAAAATTTTCATACATCAATGTAAAAGAAATCGTTTGAATAAATTTTTGTAGTTTAGTATTAAAATGTGTCCAGCGTATTGAGATTATAATGTACACGATAGGAAAATGGCACTGATCATGTTTTTAATGCAAGCAACTTAATATAATAATAATAATTAGATTAAAATCGAGATAATTTATTACACTCGATGAATATGCGAACTCTGATTTCATTCACTAAAACAGCTTCCGGTCAACATGCAAATTTAGCTTGATATGACTATGATGATGATTGCAAATTTTTTTGCTTAATAAGAAAGTGCCATTTGTTATTCGAGTGGGTATTACAATAAATGTATGTAAAAAGTAAAAGTGATTTTTTTTATTAATGATAAATCTGTAAAGTGTGAGGATATCCCAAAAATGCGATATTTTTAATAATAAATTCTTTCACTAATTCCATCCTTTAACAAAAACAGAATTTATGGAATATCAAATAATCTCTTATTGAACGTAAACGACCAAAGTTTTATAATTTATATTTATCACGAGAAATGGACAATATAACATATAATTTATTTTTATTTAGGAAAAAGATTACAAATTAGATTATATCTTATTCAATATTATTGAGATATTACAAATCGTGTAAAAAAGAAAGGCGAATTAATACTTATACTATATGCTTATACATATTTAAAAAATAAGGCAAGAGATTACTATCTAATTTTAAGTCGATCACGTAATCGTTTTTCTAAGCTCGTAAGAAGGATTTTAAAGTATTTTCTGACGTAGTATTATGCAGTGAAATATACATTGATGCTATTTCGTTTAAAGGTTTAAGATTTTTTAGTACCGGGAGGAAGGGTTATATCAAATACTATCGGTGGATTACTTGGCAGATAATTTAGATCACATGTTGATGCATTAATATATATTATCTTGCCGTCTGAAGATATGCCATATCCTATTACACATAAAATGGATAAGATATTTTGCCATACGTTAATACGAATATATAATAATATTCGCCATACCTTCGTGTATGTGACCAAATACATGATATTTGGGCTTCACGCGGTTCTGCACCGTCGACAATAATTCGACACATCCAGCTCGTACTCCAGTGCAGCACAGGTCTCCGTGACCTACAGGAGGAGTATGCGTTACGAGAATATCTGTGTCAGATGGAATCATTTCCCATTTTGAGAGGCATGCTTCTCCACGCGGTACGTTAAATGCCCACTTACAAAACTCTGGTTGCCTAAAGTTTCAATGAAATGTCCCTCAAAAATAAGATTCTCTTATACCTGAAATTATCGTCTACAAATATTTCGCATAGTATGTTCAAAAGAGAGTATATATCGATCTTTTACAATCGCACTGATTAACTTATCTCAGGTAATGAATCAATGTAGATTTTATATATATTACTTATTTAATTCTAAATATCCAAAGTATCTAAACATATATCAAAACGAAAGTATTCGCATAAATACAAGCTTAGTATTCTCAAATTTCTTTAATTTTTTTAGATCTTTAATTAATACACTTTATATGTTTCACTTTGATTCACCAAGTTATTTAGTAATTTACACATGACAATATACTTACCATGGAGTACCGTATATCTTGATTCCGTGTAATGTAATCTCAGAATCTTCAAGATATGTACAATTTGTCAAATAATCTTTAACATTAGTAGTTTTAATAGCTTCTGCGAGAGTATCCTTGGACATACCCAAGGTAGGGATATTGTCGAGTATGCTGGTTCCTGTATGTTTCTGATGATCTCCACTGGTATGCACAGAAAAGGGATGCGTGAATGTGGGATCGAAGCTAAGTTCATGGTTTCCAGCTATAACTATTTTGTGCTTGTGTGGCAAGTTACCTAGAATTAAACAAGATCACATCTCTCTTAATTTGCATATTCTCATTTGATGTTTAGCATTAATAACATGAAGTACACACGATATAATTTACCTATCCAATTATTGAATTCTACGACCTCTTGCAGGCTACCGCATTTTGTAAAATCTCCAGCGTGGATGAAGACGTCTCCCGCGGGCACGTCAAACTTTATGAACGGCGTGAGGGAATGCGTGTCGCTCATGCATACTACGCGCAACTGAAAACGGGAAAATCATTAATGCTTGTGCATGCCACGGATAATTAACGTGCTCACGCATTGACGACCGAATAAGAAATGAAAATTTTTAATTTTGTCCTTTTCTCGAAAATGTATAATTAACGGCGTTTAAACATCCATCCAAGTGTGAGGGTGACTTTTAAGGTTAATGCAAATACATCTCTCCATGTAGAAAGATCAAAACCGTTAAAAACCATTAAAAACATACTTTGTCGCTCGGTGCCTCGGTCGTCGGCAATTTAGTATTTATTTTAACAACTTTCTGATGCTGAGATAACTCGCGCCAGGCTGCCGTAGGATCAGCTGTCAATGGATGAATAGCTATCTTCATGCTGAACCGGTGAATGTGACAGCTCGTTGCCCGTCGCTACTCGCTATTATATACATATATGTATACAAGATATGTTCGTTTCACCTGCACTTTTTTGCACTTTTTCAGTTTTATATTTAATGGATCTCTATAGTTAATAAATTATGAAACAGAGGAATAAAAATATGCTTAACGACAGCTCCCAAATCGCTGTCAAAAACTAATTTTGCAATGTGTCTGCCACAAATTTTGTTGCTAGAATGCCAATAGGAATATATAATATGTATATACATATATATATTGTATATTAATATAAATATTTGCTAACTGCAGTATAGTTATTATAATAATTAATATATGATGATAAATTGAATTTGTATATTATATCACTTTTTTATCAAAACTACAACATAATTAATTACAAAAATTAAATGAAATTAAATATATGCTGCATTTATCTTAAATTTGTTTTAATGGATTGGTTTTCACATTGATTTTTCTTTTAGAAATTACTCCAATACGAAAAGAATCAATTCATTTCGGAGGAAGATCTGGACTTAAAAAAAATCAATTTTGTTATAACTGAACAAAAATATTATAATATAAAATATAAGACTAATTTAAAAAGAAGGGGTTTACGAGAAAGGCCGATAAGAAAAACTCAATATATGTTACAATTACAATATTTTTATATATCTTTGATGACGGTTTGATGGTAACAACAGGTAAATACTACATATTGTACATTGAGTAGGCGATAGTCGTATCTTATTGTTATATTAATTAATTATAGCATATCGGCGGCGCCTGATGTCGGTGGTGACGACGACCACGATGACGATAACATCGATGACGCCTCATATTTTCAGAATACGCGCGACTGACGCGGCGATGGCAACAGCAGTAGCAACAGCAGCAATAATCTTAATAACAATAACAGCAACAGCAACGATGACAATAATATAATGATAGTATTGTGTAAGTAACAATTATAGCAGTATATAATAGACATGACGATAATGATGATAATAATATTTTTACTAATGAGAATAGAGTGATCATTCCAAAGTTCCGGATGCAACGCTTTAGAGAGATTTTTTCTTTTTATTTGAATAAACTTGATGATGAGTGGCAACTATCTAATCTAGGAAAATAAATCTTATTTTTTTTAAATTATAATTTTATTATAAAATTCTGACAGAAGATAAATCAATATTAATATCATACTTATTTCTGTTTTTTGAAAGAAAATAATAAAAAGCATTATTTTGAATTATTGATATGAAATTATTGGTCAAAACTATTAGAATAATTAGATAAAAGATATTTCCGTAGAAAAAATTATATCTTCGGTTTATTCTAGTAAAGTATAAAATCCGGCATCATGGAATGACCCCGATATCTTGTGCTGATACTATGCTTCTAACATGTATGAACGAGCAAGATGACTCCGAACTTTTGGAATCAGGAAAAATTTTTTGTAAAAAATGTTAGCAGAAAATTGAAACAAAATTCGTCTTGATTATTATTAAGATGCAGAAATTCGTAACGTCATAATACGTTTACTCGTATAAAATTCAAATTGAATTTTATAAAGATATATAAAAAAGATTTTTTTTTATTGTAAAGATATAAATTTAAAATGAATTAGAGATTTCCATTAAAAATTATCCGCACATTGTAGTATATAAATGAAATGTCTACAGAATTTACTCTACAATAATCATCTTCTTCCAAAAGCATTCAAAAAGTTCGGAGAACACTTGCAGACTCGGATATTGTCGTCATCGTAGATGCGGTCACCACCGCCAACGTCTTCAAGCGTCGTCATCGCGAGCGCAGTTAGTAATTACTAATTATCGCTTTCTTCGCTTTTTTTCCCTTCAGTTTCGCATTTATCACACTTAAAATAAACGGGGTGTTTGAGGAATGTGCGCGGATGCAGAGTCAGCGATGCATTGCGATGAATCTCTCTGAATCAGCAAGAGCTCAGGAAAGAGGAAAGAGTGGAAGGACTATACGCGACGCGCGCGTTCACTGTCGCTTATTACATTGATGATGGATAAAAAATTTCGTAGAATTGAATGAATCGTGAAATAAATACAGGAATAAAAGGGATTCGTGAAAGAATTTCCAGTGATTCCCAAGAGATCGAGTATTGGCTATTATTATAATTTTTTGTGCTTCACTATTTGCATCTGCGAAAATACAGTTGCTTAAAATTAAACATTACACCAATATATTTCCTTTTAAAAGATGTCAAAAAAAATACACTAATATAAAGATGTGCTTAATTTTCTTTGTTAAAAAATAAAACAGAGAAGGGAGAAAAAAGTAAAGAAGAAAGTAGAAAACGAATACAAAAAAGAAAATAGTAGAAAAAGATTTAGAAGGAATGAAGATAAACACAATGAGAAAAATGGTTGTGAAGAGAAATTGTTGAAACACACACAATTACGAAATGTCTCCTGTGATAATAAAAACATTATCAGAGAATCACTGGATTAAGAAGGATATGTGTTCCGATGAGCCTAGTTTTGCGAGAATAATATCGATACTATGAAGCACAAGTTTTTCATCAAAATGGTGTGGAACTGCAAGTGCGTATATGCACGAGACTTTGTCTAATATATATGCGTATGTTTATATGTTTGCGTGTATGTGTATGCGCGCCTCGCAACGATATATACTAACATACAAGCCACTGACTCCGCTCACTTTCAGTAACACTAAGTAAATGCTATGGCATCATGATAATCACCGAAGGTGTCCTTATATCAAAATCGTTAGATAATAATTATATATATACATATATATATATATGTATACATATGTATACATATGCATATATACATATATATACACACGAACGATTAGCGCGCGCCTGTTTCGCTTGATACTCGGATATGGTCAATTCGTACATGTTTTCACCGTGTTCACCGTTGAATCCCTTAATCTCGCTTCTCTATCTACTTGAAAAGAAAGTGCAATAAAAAAAGAACAAAGCAAGTAGCTGGAACAAACCTAAGATATCCGTATCTCACATTCATTTTTCCAACTTATTTATCTCATATGTAAGATTATAAAGTATAAAGTTAATCCGGATAACTATAATTATTAAGAAATAATTATTAATTTTATTATTAAGAAAAATGTTACGATATCAGATTTAGTATCGCATTTATTAATTATGTTATCTCCAAAGACAATAAAGTGTCAAATGTGAGATACAAATACAAACTTTAGTACGCTTGAGTGAGTCATTATTGAAAATCACTTCCAATTTTTCTCTCATAGAAAAGTATAGTCAAAAATGGTTTTTAAGGCATGAGAACCAATTGCAGAAAACAATATTTATAGATTTCACATTATAAAATAGATAATTAAGATTTTCGCAATTTTGTGAGCAGTATGACCGCTTTTTAATCTGATATAAATAAATTATAAGAACAATTTATAAATAATCAATAGCTATCGGATAGAAGAATATGTTTTTGCAATCGGTTCAAAAACTATTCAACCTTAACTGATATGATGGAATTCTGTATAATGTGATATGAGACTATATATTAATTTCTTTGTTTTATGCAAGTTTAAGCCACTGACGTATCGAGTGCCCACAACATATCAATCAGTACAAATTTCATCATTAACAAAAACTTTTTCACTTTTGTTCTTTCCATGTAAGACAAGTCTAATTTTTTCGAATATATATATCTTAATATATCTTTTTTGCTCAGTTCTAGGAACATCCGAATGGGTGATTCGTTTTTGCCATATCCGTTAAGGGATTATATGTACATTAAGCTTGACGCATCGACGGTGACCGCGGGGCATTCGTAAGATACGTATTATCATCGGGCGAAAGGCAACGTACATCGCATTGATTAATATTTTATATATTTATCTATATATATATATATACGTATTGTAATTATGCTATAAGACTAGATTCTCGGCGGAATACATCTCTCATACTCTCACATTGTTCCGACTCTTCCTCAATGTTTGCCTCAATGTTAACCATATAATTCTATCCACTTCGCTGTGTTTTACGACAATGAGGCGCCGTCAATTGTTTATTCGCCGAACGCCGTTCGCCGCCGATGGATTAAATCACTATTGTCCCACGCGATGTGCTGACACATAACTTACAGAGTTACATACATACTTAGACACCGTAGTCCTTAGATACGTACATAGCTATAGATATTCCTGGCTGATCCTTGGAATAGGTCGTTCACACTTAAATTGTCTTTGCTTTGTTTCATTCAATCGCTTCACGATGATCAGTTTTATTATGGAAAACAACGGAACTATGAATGAATTTGTAATTATTCTAGTAGATCAGGAAGAACAAGCGATTTTTTCTTTCTCTTTTTTCTCTTTGCTGTTACGAATACGAGTAAAAATACATATAAACTAAGTGAACATATTCTGATGATTATATGAATTATTCTTTTTAAAAAGTACCTTCAGGCTTTATAGTGGTATTTGAGTAATTACATATATTTTATTGAGGTAAACAATTTCTACCAATGAAATGAATAGACACGCAGAATAAATCATAAAATAAAATTCAAAATAAAATTTATTTATAAATTATAAAATATTTTTACTGCTTGTAAATTTGCATATTTTTTGCTACATTTACTTTAATTTATATAAATGTGTTATTAATTAATTAATGTGCAAGAGAACGATCAATCAATTTTTAACCATTTCGAACAATTGTCTCAAAAATAGTTGTTTCATTATTTTTCACTTGCTCGATATAAGCAATAAATTTTGGTTTGTTTTTTTACTAATAATCCAGCCCAGTAAACAATATTCACTTGGTTTATACACACTTTCAACAAACGTATCGGTCATGTTTTCTTTTTGTATCTAGGTACAAATGCGGATACAAACTAAAGATGTGTTTGCATATATTTTTCGAAATAGCACCTAAGTATGTATATATGAAACAGTCATAAAAAATTCCGAAACATACATTCTTGATATTCCGAAAAAATATTGCTAAAATTACGACAAGCTGATGACTATATAAATAAAGTCTAAAACTGAATTAGATATGTTACAAAATGAAAGGATTTCTTCTTCACATCATACGGTCGACTTCAATATTCCGGATAATATTTTTTACGGTAAATATACAATTATACACTTGATATGGCAAGTATACATATATATATATACACACGTTACAGTATCCCGTAACCTAGATACAAATGTTTAAAGCAAGAGCGCATTTAATTAAGATATCGTAGCTCGATGCTGTACCTAAATATGTGTATCGATACATTATAATTAGGTACTAATGATGCTTCATATACCCAGATACCGACCTCGCTTCAACGATGCCATACACACGTGTGGACGCATTCACGTGATGAAAGTACTTTCGGCGGAATAAAAAATGCCGAGTGCAATGTACTTAAAAAGATCATGGAGTTTTTCGAAGGGTAATTCAAAAGTGATATCAGAGAGAACAGCGTTCGAGCGTAGAGTATAACGTATACGCGTATTTCGTTATCGACGTTTTCTCTCGTTCGGCGAAGCCGAACCGTATGTGTTTCTCGTCAAACGACGCGTGAAACGATTCGCGATTCTCTACTAGCCATACAAATGTAATTTTAAACCTGTGAGTCCATAATTAACATACGCTCTATCGCATCTATATATATATATAATATATATATGTACACAGTCTTACAAAGCAAAATTTACAAACATTACGACGTATGGTCGATCGAATAAATATGTCCTCCGATGCGACTGGGTCGGGTCGCAAGTGAACGCTTCGTCGTATTTCGATCGCGCCTTGCAAACCGATTTTGGCTAACTGATTGGATAGCCCGTTCATTCTGCAGTCAGTTGAATTAAAAAAGTGATCGCACGTGAAGCGAGTACTGAATAAAGATTAAACATTGGCAGAAACAACGAAGAAGAGACACGTACTGGTATAAAATTTTCCTTTCTTTGTTTCTCCATGTACAAAAACGTGAATCAGTTTTTGATATCCATGATAGTTTCAAGGTTACGCTTTTTTGCACTTTTCACTATTAAATGGCAAAAATTGCACACGCTGACACGTTTAAGATTTTCGCGTAGATTCTGTCGATTATCCTCTGCGAATTTTGCATAAAAAAATTCGAGAAATTTAGAATTGTTCGACCGAATTTGCTATGAGGTCTATAATTAATTTATGGCACAAAATTCGACGCAAAGTATACAAAAATATCTGTGAAAGTTATATGAAATGACGAACATCGGAGAATTCCTGCGACTCAGCGTGCGCATTCGGATGCATGCGTGATCAAAATACAAAGCATCTCGAATTGTCTGACGCTCGTTATCTTGCGACCTGATAAGGGGAGGAACCGTGGTAGCGGAGAAGGGCTCGAGCGAGAGATCAAGATGGCACGGGGGCAAGAGCGAGGATCCACGACGATGATCCTGCACGAAATGAAGAGAAAAGCAAGCTCGCAACGAGAAACGTCGAAATGCCGCGTGACGCTTTCGTCATCGAGCGAGCGATCTATTTACCCCACCGGCCACCGACAGATAGTTTTTATTAAAGCCTCTTGCGTGTACAACAGTACTCCGACTATTTATTACGCCAGCAAATTTTCGCAGTCGCGATACTCGAATACTACACTTTGCATGTGCACTTATTAAAATTTAAGTCACGATAGAGATTAAATCTATTAAACATATTATTATCAAGATCCAAGATTTTAAGTCATTAAAGAAAATATTTCATAAATAAATAATAGCAAAAGTATTAGCAAAAAAAAAAGATATTCAAAATTGAAGTTTTGATAACGATAATTCGTAAAAATGGTAAAAAAATATAGTAAAAATATGCATCTTCGGGCCTATAATATAAAATATTGATGTAACACACAATCTCTTCAGCTTGTTATCGTGTATTACATTTTACGTATCATTATTTACGTATCGATGCGATAAAATACGTGTATATATAAGGAAATTATATCGTACTTGAGGAACTTTCACCCGTTGCGCCCAAAAATTGCTAGCGATCGTAACAAATTGTCGAGAGACTGTGTGAATCATGTGCGAAGGAAAGGGATATCCCTTTCTTAAGTTTCTGTTAATATGAGCGTATGTGTATGTGTGTATGCGTATGTGTTTGCGCGTTACTCTTGATGTGCTGCTAGGAAGCTGACTAGATTATAGTCTAAAATACGAAATATCCGGGGGTATCATCGTTTTCGATGATAGCGGAATCTCGTTCCCGCGAGAGCGAGTTGTCGCGAATTCTCGACAGCATTTTCGACACAGAGAATTCTCTGAAGAGAGGAAAGAAACAACTCGATGCGTTCGCTGTATCTACTAACGAGGATCCCGGTGTTCCGTATCGACGTTGACTACTGCTCGACCTTCGAAAAGGTCGAACGGCCTCACCTAGGCATTCGACTCTTTCAGATTGTCGAAGTACTGCATGATCTGATTGTAGTCCATACCCAGATTAAGGTCATCGAGCGCCGCCGATTCCTCTTGCTCCTGGGAGGAGGACGAGGCGCAAGAGGAGCTGGAGGAGGATGAGGACGAGGCGGACGGTGACGAAGACGGCGGAGATGTTGTGGTAGATGAGGCCGCGCCGCCAGTAGGAGTAGTAGACGAGTTTACGGTAGAGACGGCGGTGGATACCACGGCGGAGGTGGAGAATGACGAATACATCGGATTACCGACTATAGTCGCCCTCTTGATCTCCCGGGATCTCCCAGCCTCCTTCGCGACGTGTCTCTTGTTGTCATCATGATTCACCAACTCCACGAATTCCTCGTTCTCGCCGTTCTGCTTGTTCGCGTTGTCCACTCTTTTTCCGTGCGACTTGACTATATAATGATTTGATTGCTGCGATGCTTTGTTGTTGTGCCGATGATTATTCCCGTGATGGCCGCCGCTGCCACCACTGGATGCTCTGTGGCGATGCTTTCGTGGCGCGGGCGGTTCTGGCTGCCGCACGCCCACCCCTGTGTTTCTGTGCGGCGGTACCGGTGGTTTATAGTCTTCATTATTGCCGTTATTCGCGTTATTCGTGCCGACCGACGTCGTGGTCGCCGCAGTCGCTGTTGTCGATGTCGAGTTTGCGACTGGTATTCCATGCGGCGGTAAAGGCGGAGGAATGTCATCGTTGCTGTAAAAGAATTCACGATAAGGTTTATGCACTCGCGAAGCTGTTACCTATAATAAGCAATATTAATTTCGTTTGAATCGTTAGAAGCTAAACAATTTTACAAAAAATTTAAATCTATTATCTATTAATTTAATATCATCGATATCACGATTCGTTATATGTAAATAATTTCTTTTTTCATGGATATCACATTCTCTCTTCTTTGCTTGAAGACATATTTCGACTCGGTTTCGAAGAATAAATTGGATTGAGGAAGGTACAATAACGTTCAATCATAATTACTCGTTCCGCGCGGTAGTCGGAATCACAAACGACACCGCTGTCGTCGCCGACGTAGTCGTGGTAGGCGGTATCACCGCGGATGGCTTGACCGCGGATTTTGCCGCGAAACTGTTTCGCGCTATTCTGTCCCTTTTGGAATAAGTGGTGGTGTCGATGGAACTGGTACCGCCGCTGGGCCGTTGATTGGCAGACGGTAGTTCGATGTGATTCGGATTGTCGAAGCATGTGCCCAATTCGGCCTCGGGTTCACCTTCGCCGGCCAGCGGATTACTCGTTACGCGCACCTGCAACATAAACCGAGTTTTTTTCAATCAAATTGTTTCAACAAAATCCCGCTTGTTTTGTTTTTCAAACAAGTTACCACTGGGTTTTATCGAAATGCGCAAAGATATTTACAGCATCAAATCTCGTCGAAAACTCGAATTGATTTCAATTACCGGATTAATCCTGAATGTACTCGTTGAACCGTTATCGCTATCGATGTTATATATTTATTGAAATTTGATTCGTTATTCTTCAATTTGTTAGTAATCCTTAATAATTTCATGGTATTGAATGTTTCATACTCATGCTGGAATTTGGAGCAAAGAAGTTTAAGAAATTAATGTGAATAATAATAATATTGTTACTAAATTTAAATAAAACTAGAAAGGTTCTTATTTGAATTTTATTCTTATGAGCCCTAAGAATAAAATTCAAATAAAAAAAGACAAAAAGTTAATGAACCAAGTTGAGTATTAGCGCTAATGTATATTTAATATCAACAATTAATATTTATTGGATACAGCGATAAATAAATAATAGTCCGGACGTTCGACTTTGTAACAAATAATCGTCATCAGTGTCAATAATATAAAATGCAATAATGCTAAAAATTTTTTACACTCGTCTGTGCTTCTTCAAATTGCAAAATTCTATAAGTCGCTAGTCGATAAATTGTATAATATTTGTTATTGTAACATGAGTCCTAGTGGCTCTTTTTTAAACGGATTTCTTTATAGCGAATACTGATATTATTATTGATTAAATAACAGATGGCAAATGGGAGCATAATTTAAATAAATCAGTGAAATCGAAAAATTAAATTTTTTCCAAATTTAACCACAACAAAAAAAGAAATGTTATTTTATATATTTATTTATAAAATAATGTATATCACTAAAATCTTTAATCAAACTTGCAATTAAAAAATCTTTTTTTTCTCTGAAAAAACTTAACGAATTCTAGTCTCGTTAATTAAAAAAATAGACAAACCTAATTATATCTAACGGTAAAATACTATCTGGTCAGTATTTGAGAGTTTCAAAATTAGTTTTAATAATGATTATCGATACGGCCTCATTTATGGTTTTACTCGCAAATCATCGATTTCAATCTGACATACACGTACCTGTTGCGGACCGCAGGCAGCTCGTTCGAGGGTCGCTCTACCCAGCCATACCCAGTCGTGTGCGTTGGTGGTCGATTCGCGTGGCGGTCGTCTGCCAGACGCCAGCTGGTTCGCGGCGGCGCGAGCCCTCGCACCCGCGCCAGAAAGTACCGGGACGGCCGCGCCGGTCAGTGGGGAGTCCGGCGGCTGGGGCTTGAACTTGCTGGCGTACACCACGCAGGAGACGACAAAGACAACGATCGCGAAGCAGAACGCCGCGAGCAGCACGTACATCCCGATCTCGAGCGGGGTCATCCGCGCCCCGACGCCGTGGTGACGCACGCCAACGCCGCCGTTCATACCCCCTGAAGACATGCCATTAGCTATAGCCGTGCGATGCTGCCGTGCCTGCACCAAAGGCTCGTGCTTGTGCCCGTCTTTCTCGTCTTTCAGCGGTAACCCTTTGCACAGAAAAAACAAAGAGAGAGAAAGAGAGAGAGAGGACAGAGTGAGACAGGGTGTTTGTGCTGAGTTAGAGAGCCGCTGAGAATCTTTCTCCCTTGATGCCTCCAACTAGACAGCGGCTAGACATGCTATCGGATACGCGAAATTGCCAAGTTCGTAGGGATGCTGGATATGCGTCTGTATTTTTGGCGCGGCAATCAAACTATAATATATTAATACATATAGAAACTTTTGACATTATACTACGCGCACTATGCAAATAATTCCAATTTTTCAAATTACTTGAAGATAGGAGGAAGAAAAAGAATTATATACCTATTTCAAATATGTTTGAAGGTTTTTATTTCCTAATTCTCATTCGGATTCAAAATGATCTTGATATTATAAGGCTCATGAAAATTGGAGCAAAATTTCCTCAATCAAATTTATTATGTTTGTAAATCGAAAGAATATTCGGATGATAATAGATATTTCATATTAAATGATAAAAGTAATAAAATACTCCAATGATCTATAATGACGAGCGTATTACGTCACAAATTATTCTTAGAGCTAGACGCATTTGACATTCAGCACAAAGGAGGGAGACTATCAATTACGGAGGACTGGACGGAAACCGTGGGGAGATCACGCATAAACAGGCAGGCGGAACTTTTATACAAGCCAAATGGTTCCACGAAGAAAGTTTCCGCTAAGAAATGCAGAACAAAGTGTATACCGTGCGCTACGTGGCAGTTATAAAGCGTATAAGAAAAGAACAGAGAAAAGTGAAGAAAATGCAAAAGAAGCAAGACAGAAAGACAGAAAGAAGCAAAGAGGAACAGGATCTATTTACCGATCATAACGTCGTGTAGATCGGGAGCCAATTGGCCGTGGCCGGTTTTAAGTACTTTATGATGATGAGAACCGACCGTGCCACCGCCGTCGTTCTGTACGAATTCTGGCCGATTAGGTACCTCGCTCAAGGCGAAATCCACCTCGACATTGGCCGACGCGCTTGCCAACGCGGCGGCTGTCGTCCTCTGAGAGCCCTTGCTCGAACGTCTGCCGGATAAGCGGCAGGACTCGGCCAGCTGTAAACTGACGCGCAGCAAGTCGCCGCGGCCTTCGCCGACCGCGATTACTCGTGGATGATGGGAAGCGACCATCGGTGCGAACGCCACAACTTCCGGATCCAGACTCTCCACCAGTAAATGGTAATCGCTCACAGCGATTTCCCTGAGGGGTGTACGGGTACTGTCCGAGAACTCCACATCAATGTCCAACAGTCCTTCCTGTTAGTACAATAACAGCGTCAAAACTTGCTTATGCAATCATTATAAATTCATATATGTTTTTCGTCATCAAAACAAAATTATGTATCTATGTATATCCTCGAGGTAAAGGTAAAATCGATTTCTTCAAAATGAAAATTTAACAAATCAATACAATTTAACAACAAACATTTTTTTAGCTCTTTAAAATTCTTCTTTAAAAAGAGATCGACATTAACATCATATAAAATAAATAAATATATAAAAACACACATTATTTTTTAATTAATTTATTACTTTATTTCAGTCTTGAATTTAAAATTTCTTAAAAATATTTAAACACCAGATTATTAAACTCGGCAACTGTTTTTTAATTGATTTTTCTAAATTGCAAAACTGCTATCTTTCTCAAGATACATTTAAAGTTTCAACACAAATAATAAATATTACTATCAACAATTTACCTGATATTGAGCAGTCAGTCTTTTCGTAACCGAGGTTTCGGCGACGTATCCGTTCTCGATCGCAGTATCTGGACTGATACTGAGTTGAAGTCCGGACACCACCCGGACAGTCAAACGTGTCACAGACACGCGATCATTGCCGACTCTGATTTCCTTCGCACCGATAACCCTACCGGTAATCGGTGACAATACTTGTACCTCCGTGCGACCGACTCCACGTCCTTGAACCAGTCTACCCTGAAGAAGCGTCGCTATTCTAGGATCGGAGACACGCAGCATGCCAGCTACGAGGTCAGTGACGCGCAACCAGGTGCGCCGATTAACAAAGTACGAGACTCTACCCGAGTCGTGATCGGTCGCTAAGAATCGGGCGTGCACCTCAATCGGACTTTGCTGGAAACGCAATCTGCAATTAGCCGAAGATAGACTTCGATCGATAGAGTTGATTGTATCCCATCCGTGATCATTCCCGTTAGATCGGAATCGTTCCTCGTGCTCGTCCTCCTCGAGGAGCCCGTCCGGATCGTCTACATCCATTGACGTGTCCTCTATCGACTCCTCCAGATCAACGGCACTTCTCTTCTTCGCTCGCGCGGTCACCGGCGGCGCTTCCGGTGGTATTATTGACGTCGCGGTAACTTCCGCCTTCTCTTCGCTCCGCGTCGCATTCAACAAGCTCCGCTTGCTCTTCGCACTTGTTACATGCTCCTCCGGCACTTTCCAACCCTTTATCTGATTCAGCCGCGTATCAGCGACGTTCACCTCCAGTGGAAGCTCGGGCATCCACACGGTGAATCTCGCCAGGCCGGTATACGTGCCGTATTTGACGAGGACCGATGCGTTGCTGGAACCCCGGATCTCCGAGCCATCCACGTACACGCTGCTGCACGAGGACGATACCTGCGAGTTAAGGTATTCGTAACAACGATCGGGTATTAAATGTAGTTTGATCCTAGATTACGGTAGCTCGTAATGCACGGTTCGAGTGTACGGGCATCGAAGGTGTCACTTAATCCGCCGATTATACGAGGTATTAGGAGAAGCGTTTGAAACTCGTGAACATTGTTCTCGTACATTTAAAATTTAAATGGCACATTATAAATTTTAGCTACCGTTATACAGAGTAACATATTGTATAGAATTGATTTCATTTCCATTTTGAAACAATAGACACAGCATTAAAAAAATAAATAAATTCATATAAATACATTTTATTTCTAAATTCAAACAACAACATGTAAAATAATCGTACTGAACTATTTCTCTATTGCGTATACAAATAAAACATAAAATCTTAAAAGTTATCAGACACGAATCACTACGGAAATCAGCTGCGGAAATGAAAAAGCAGCGAATTCTATACTAGCGGTATATAATACCGAGAATCCTTCAATTAAATTCCTAGGAATCTCAGCAAGCGCTGAAGATAAATTAAAAAGCAATTACCTTGAGGACACTCTCGTCCTCGGAATGACAGGACGACTGCAGCGTGACATCGGCAACCGTGCCGGCTTGGCTCACGATGAAAACCTTCATCCCCTGCGACACCTGACGCCCCGTCAACACCGCTGTATTCATCACCTCCCAGTTCTGAAGCAAAAACATAAAATGTTCCCTCTCGCTTATTGCCGAAGAGCAACTCATAGCTTAAACTACTATTCCAATTTTTCTCATATCTAAACCCCCATTCCTATTTTTAATAGTATATGTGATGGAAGTTTGCATATATTTTAATATATGCATCTCTGTAACCTTCATTGATAGAGCCATTATCCATTATTCATAACTGTTATCTATTCTGCCTCGAACTTTATTCCGCTATCGTCGTGACAAGACAAAAGGTGCGGTAAGCAATATTAAAAAATATGAACCACCGAGAAAACGTAAACTTAAAAATACAGAAATTAAACAGAAATATATAAAATACATAGAAACATGTTAAATTGATTTCCTCCTCAAAAATATACATAAATATCTTAAAATGATTAAATGCATTACAACAATATAAACTTTAAGAAAGAATTTTTTTAATAAACACTCGATATATTCTATACGATTTAAAACTGAATCACTATTTCATTTCTCAGTTATTATTCTATAAAACTGGAAAGAAATAAAACAATATTATCTCTCGTTTTAACGATTTCGTTTGATTCCACTTCTGGAAAGAACACTTGCGGGAAGAGCACGAGTTCTTGATCTTTCGCGAAAAGCAAAACTTCAAAGCTGTATAAAAAGCAGCCATAAGTAAAATCTTCTCGCTATATAAGCTGATGAAACTATTTTCTCTAAAAGCACATATTTTCTAAAATAAAAAAAGTTGTTATCGTAAAGAAGTTGATTCGCGCGTTTTCGAAATAACTGATTAACTTAGAAACTAACGATTTAACATCGCAAAGAGATTAAAAGCAGCTGAAAAATATGATAACTAACGGATTTTCGATTTAACAATCAATTTTACAACTGTCGAGGACTTGTTCTTGCAGCTTGCCGCAATGTTGCTCGTATACGTGGGAGATTACTTCCCACGTTTACATGTTCACGTGTTCGCGTCGTTCGTGCACTTTACACTAGTTCGTCAACGGGGGAGCTCCGCAAAGGGGTTGGGCAGGGTCGGTCGGTCGGTCGGTCGGCCAGACTAGTAAGCCATTTCCAAGTTCGCTTCCATCCATACAAACTGGCGGCCTTTGCAGAAGGAACATCAAACGGCTCGGATATTGCAGCGAGGGAATTTAAATCCCTGACGCGCCACGCTGGGGTGTATGCGCTAGCTAACTACTATATCGCTCGCGTGGACGAGCGTGCTCTCTTGCAATGATAAAAGCGGCGGGCGGGGTTTACATTCGAACGCGAACCGCGGCTCCTTCCCTTTCTTTCGTCAAATATTTTCTCATCTGTACCAAGACTCGCGAAAATATTTACGGGACCAGTCTACACGTTCGTGTACTTTGTATTATATTTCGCCGCGCAGAATGCGTCGTTCGCGAAAGAGATGCGAGAAATTCCTTTGAGAGGAATCACCGGTTACGCGTACAAATCTTTTGATTTAATTTCTATCGCGTAATGTATGTACACAAATTGTTAATGGAGAATATAAAAAGTTTAACATCGTATTATTTGACGGATTTCAATTCTTGAATGCATAAAAAATATTTTTAAAAATGTTCGCAATATTTGCTTCTTTTCCAATATTTTCAATATCTTCAATATTTTTTTTTCATAATTTTAAAAACACATTCTAATCTTTTGTGACAATATCCAAATCCAAATTTATTAAAGTCATTTTTTTCATTATTTGAATTTTTTAAACTTTCACTTGGAACATCCGAGGATTAAAGTTGGTTTTGCCTTTACGAAAATTTGTAATTGAATGGCACTTTCTTTCCTAACTTTCTATATTAATCATTCGCAACAATACCGGGCTAATAATGGCCTGAGACAATTAATGGCGCGTAATTAATTAAGAGTTTCAGAAATCAGCCTAAAAACTTTTTTATTTACTATACAAATTTTTAGTTTACTTTCTTGGTTCTGCAAAAAATACCAATATCCAATTATAAAATACTTCAATTTGAAATTCTATTGAATTATCCTTAAGCAAATCTGCAATGAGAAATTTTAATATAAGCAAGAAATATTTTGATAACTCTCACACAAATTGATCGAATTTAGACAATTAGAACCGTAATTCTTTACACATATAATTTATAAATGCGTACCGTTCAAGATATTTTAAGAAAAAAGAAATGTTATTACATATTTTTACGCGCGGGCGCGCGTGTATTATGTGTGTGAATTTCACAATATAAATATTTTATTCCATACGGGAAAATGGATACGTCATTTTTATTTCCAGCTACCTACTTGTTCTATTTAATAGTTTAACAGATTGACTCACAGGCTGCCAGCAATTTTCAAAAGTGCAGAATATACCTACAATACACAATAATACATACAGCTTGATGTATGAGCTAAGCAGTTTAACTTCTAGGATCACAAAATTGTATTTTGAAACATAAATGAAGCACGCGGTGCTTTCTAGATATTTCCGAGATCAACGAGATTATTTTGCGAGTTTATCAAAAGAACATGAAAAACATTTTCAACACAGGATGATGTTTCATCGACAAATAGAAGGAGGTTGATGGAAGAAATACAAGAGAGGAAGGTGCAACGATTTTACGTTACTGCGCGTAAAATATGCACAATACATGGGCTATTACGTTGATAAATTTCAGCGGAGAAAACAAGCGCGCGTGTCGGAGGTCGCTAATTGATAAATTAGATAATTAATTCGTTTACATATCCTTTTGAAGGCGCCGCATGCTCGCTCACTCGCTCGCTCGCGGGAAGTTGTCGGAAACTCCGTCCGCGCTTCTTGATTATCCTTACTCTAATTGCAGCTCCTTCCACGCGCGAGACTGCGAGTGAAGTTTTTAATTAAAAGAGACCTCGTGCGGACCTCTTTCCTCGCCGCCCTCAACCTTTGCCCTGCGTTATCCGCTGATATTGTGATTTCAGATTTTAAAATCGACTTCATTAACGACATAGTCAAATTTATAACGTATACGTTAAGATGTTAAAATTCGCAGAGTTAACTTAATACCTTATTATGCTTAAAAAGTGCTGCAGAAAACATTAACTATCCTTTGGCGTGTCTATGAAGATAGCTTTTTATCAAAAATGTTAATAAAAATCATTCGCTGCGGCTTGCAATATTCTGTACTGTATATCTTTAAAAATAATATTAAAAAATTATTTATATAGAAATGAAATCCACTTCCAAAGTTATTTATAGAATGTAATGTGTCTGTGTGCGTGTGTGTTACAAGACATATTGCTATTATATAAAAAGTACAAACTTTTCATTTTAATGTAATATTTTAATTCTTCAGCAATTATGATCCAAATTATTAACTGTAATGTAATATCTTTCTTAGTTAATTTAATCGTCTAAAATTCTATCGCGATGAATATGCCTGGTCATTGACATGATTTCATGTTGACTTTCATATACAAAATTATGTACTATGCACCTGCTGTGTCGTGTTACTGGAAATTGCGAGCATGTCATAGATAGTGTGAGACCGTCAGATCTAATTTACATACCAAGAGGCTTGTGTCCCAATTGCGTGGACTTGTTGTGGCTTGAAAAGTGATTCACTAAAACCGCATTTGACTATCGTACATAAATACAGGCATACATTACCACCGATCAATTCCAATTTCTTTTTAGAATGAAATTCAATGAGACTTCGTTGGAAAACAAATTACTGTTTTAGTAAGAAAATATTCGTTACTACGTTACGAATTCTTGAAGGAAATACTTAAAATAGCTTAACTATTTATAATTAAATTGTTATTACTATTAAAATATATTCTTGGGAGAACCCGGGTATTTTTACGAGTAGAATATTTTTCTTAGAAACTAAAAGAAATTAATGTTTCACTCTACATACATTTGACTTTGTAAAGGAACGCGGAGATGCGTCAATGCCGCTCGACGTGCGGCAATTGAAAATTTCATTACAATCCGTTGTTACGGCAGATGCGTTATCGAAATGGGTGTACGTAGCTCTGGCGATCGACTCTGCGGTATCGATGGAATTTTGCCACAGACTAGAAATATCGCCGTTATGGTGAAGGCGCGGGCGCGGAAAAGCCGAAGAGAAAAGCATCAGAGTGCTCGCCGTGGGAGCCAAAGAGGGAAAAGCATTATCCTTTGTCGGTCCTCTCTTTCTTTCATTCTCTCTCTCTCTCTCTCTCTCTCTCTCTCTCTCTCTCTCTCTCTCTCTGTCCCTCCATTTTCCTTTTTCTCACCGCCTTGCCTTCCTTTTTCTCTCTTGTCTCGGTGCTCTCGAGGATCGTAGATTGGCCGACCGAGTGGAAACAGATTCTCGCGCGACGAGGTGATCGATATACGCGACCGTATTGATCGCGCTCGTCGTTCGAGTTAGCTCTTTTCCAAGGGATTTTCACCGACGAAGTACGAAGCGCGAGGTATGGGAGACGAAGGACAAAGCGTGTCGCGATGAAAATAATCGTAACCGAAGGAGAAGCATCGAAATTTAACTGAAATCTTTCAATCACTTTTCTTACGATTTCCTTAAAATTCTTGATCTTACTATTATAATCATAGATTATGATATTAAAAGCGTAAAGTCCTTTTTAGAGCATTGTATTTTTAAATTTCAAATTAATGTTTACTGTTAACTGTGTAAAAAAAATATACTTTTGTAATTTATTTAATCCCCTGAAATTCAGTTCGGAAAAAGGCTTCCTTTTTGAATTGCTCAAAAAGCGTTATTGATGTGTTTCAATATTTTTGCTAAGAAAAAATTGACTCGAAACTCGTCAAAAAATCCGTCGTTAAAAAATAATATTTGAAAAAAAGATATCTTGTAAATATGTATATATACGCCTAGATAAGTAATAATTTTCCAGGTACAATTTGATTACCATCAACTTTTGATTGATGTCGCATTGTTGCAGATAAAAATGAAAAGTGAAAGTAATTCTTGCCGATACAAAATATTCACATTATCGCTTTGCATTCTCTTTCAATTTTTTTCTCACGCGTGCATAAACTTGGAAATTTTAATATTTATAACTTTAATACTTACATAATATCACTAAAAGAATCGTGTATATTACCTTGGAGATCGGAAGCACCGCCTGTATATCATCCTTCTGTATCTCCAGCCGTGCCTGCAGTTTCCGTCTCTCGACATGATGATGATGATGGTGCTGCAGCTGGCGTTGCTGCATTCGCTGCTGCTGATCGACGCCAGTCAACTGCGAGCCATTCTCCTCCTCACCCTCGAGCGCGTAACGCACGCTCCATACGATCCTACCGCCGTCCCAGCTTCCGCCTATACCCTCCTCGCTAGCCTCTAACAGCATCGTCATTATTTCTTCTGCGGACCTAGGAAAAGAACAATAACCTTCGAAATGCCTGCGACATTCACGCAAAAAAATTAAGAGACGCAGATTACTTTTCGAAAAACGGAATTTCTTTTAAATGAAAATTTCCAATAAAAATTTGATGACATTGACTGCATTAAAATAACAATGCAATAGAAATTCATAATTCACGGTAAGATGATAATGACAAGTCTTTGAAAGCGTCGAGGATACTCTGTGCATGGAAATTGTGTATATCATATCTGCAATGATGGAGATTCGAACGAATGTTCATTTATTCGCTCGTGTAAGTACACCTTCAACAATTAATGCTGCTTTCAAGTGAATTCGCGAGAACAAGTGTAAAAATTAAAAGAAACGATACCTCGCCTGTTAAGCGGCTGTTAAATCGCAAACACTGAAAATTGTACGTCATTACCAGAATTTAACGGCTCTCTCGCGCGAGAGGCTTTGTATTTTCCTCGATGCACGCTTTAAAAGCGTTTCTCCAAAACGTCTTTACTTGTTCCTGTTCCCGGCTACACGCAATCCCCTGTCTCATTCATATTTTACGACGAGCAATGGGCGACGTCGGATTAAAATTGCCGTGAAACGAGCAGTTTTCATGAGAATTATGAATTAAAGCGCAATTAAATATTCATAGCCATGTAAATGTAATTAAACTCGTTAAGACATACAAATTTATCGAATTTAATTAAGTCTTTTTTGCGAATGTTAAATAAATACATATACCATATATGTATGATTTTGTGCATAAAATTAAATTTTTAAAAAATATTATTTTCAAAATAAAAACGGTTTTATTCCAAAATTATATCATTAAATACAAAAACTGATGTTGCAAACTTGAATTTCTAGATTAAATTTAATAATTTTTTAATATCTCAATATTATATAGAGTTCCGAATGTGGAGATCACTAATAAAAAAATCTGCGGTATATTTTATGACAAAAATTGCAATAAACTTAAAAAAAAAAGTAATAAGAAATATAGAGTATATTTATAATAAATCAAGCAAATAAAAATATTGAGAGGAAACAGAACAAATATTCCTTAAAAATATTTACACAATACATTTCAGCCTTATTTTTACGTTCAAGCTGAGAAATAATTTTCTTTCAACAATTCGATAAAATTAACTTGGAAGAGATCATCATATATCGTAGATTTGAAATAAAATATATATATAATCTGTAACCTAGAAACGATGAGTAACAACACATTTGAATCATTATCGAAGGATGTCGTGATAAGCGGAATAAAATTACAATAGTCATCAAATTTGAAAGTGTAAATTGCCATCGAGTTATCATCAAAGATGATGATAAGTTTGGTAAAGAGTTAATAATACCCGTCGAGAGTTGAATTTCCTCGACGCCCCTATCCATAATTCTCGGTTCTTTCTCTTCCTTTTATCGAACACTCTCTTAGTAAGCGTCTCGTTCGCAGCGTCAGTCGCTCATTACGCCTTCTCGAGATTCTTATCTTATCGAGATGAAGGCAGCGACGTTATTTCAAAGTAATTATTCTGCAGCCTCGAGCCACTTGCCGAGCTATGAGGAGCCGGTATCACACGCATCGGGTCTGATCTCGATGCGAGAGCCGTCGCGTTCGCTACCAGCGCGCGCCGCGTAGAATCTCGATAAGCGCGGAACCCCCGGCGAAGTCGCCCACCTCCTCCTCCTTTATCGCGGCCGTTGATCCACGTTGCGTGCGTGTCGGGCGGCGTTAACCCTTCGCTCGCTTCGTGCTCGCGCGCGGCGCGATCGATGATCCGCGGCTCGAGCGGGTGCAAATCGTCGATCTCGCGAAGCTGCCGGAGTTCTAAGTCGAAACGAAAGTAGATAATCAAACCGGACCATCGACGGGTTAACGGCGATAACGAGAATTCTCTCTTTGCCCGCTCAGATTTCCCCACTTCCTCACCTTCCGTCCTCTGCTTCTCCACCGATTTCAACACGCAACGCATCGCTACGTCAGCAATGGCGCGTCTCGCCCGATGACTTCTTTCTTTATCAGCGCTTCGCAACCGCGGTATATAAGGCAATCGTTCGACTGCCATCGCGAGTGTAAATCGCCCCTCTGAGTTGCGTGATCGATTATGCGTCGTGCCATGCAATTTTTTTTCACGGGTTTTCTCGTGGGACTCGCAGTTACGCACGTTGTCTGGGCGTATCCTGCGCAAGATGTGCAGGATCTGCAGAACGATGTCGTGTTAACAACGACGACAACACCGATCATTGTCGGTGAAGAAGATGGGAAAGAAATAGAAGAAATAATAAAAAAGCCCGACAGTTCGAGTTCATCTAGCGAAGAAAATACTGATAAGCGTACGAGGAGAGATTCGTATCTCGGCGACAAATGGAGGCCTCTGGAAAACGAGGAGCAGGAGGAAGAGACGAAGGAACTTGGGCGCGTGAGGCGTGCAACCAAGCGGAAGAAAAACGACGATGACAGCAATAGTAGCAGCAGCAGTAGCTCTTCCAGTGATGACGACAACGATGATGATGACGATGATGACAATGATAATTGTTGTAAGAAAAGCAAGAAACGGTATGTGAAATCAAAGAAGGATAACGACGAAAATTGTGATGATGACAACAATGATAATGATTGTAAGTGGAATAAGAAACGACGTGTGAAATCGAAGAAGAATGACGACGACGACAACGACGATGAAAAGTGTGACTGCAACGACGACGATGATGATCGTAAGAAGAGTAAGAAACGACGCGTGAAATCGAAAAACGATAACGATGATGACGATGAAAATTGTAATAACGACGATGACGACGATGACGATGACTCGTCTTCGTCTTCCTCATCATCTTCGGAGGAGGAAGATAAAAAAAAACGAGGAAAGAGGCATATTAAAGAGAATACTTCACAAAGTATATCATTATCCGCAGAAAGAGAGAATAAACATCGATTTATCCGAGCGATTCAAGATACATCGGAAAGCAACTCGTCCGAACAGAACAATCCGAAAAGTCGACTTATCAGAGAGGTCAAGGTTAACACGGAAAGCAGGTCGTCATCCGAAGTGGGCAAGTCGAAAAACTCGCGATTTATCCGAGCGGCTGAGGATACTTCCGGAGGCGACTCGTCCAAGGAGAAGAACAAACTGAAGAATCGATTTGTCAGAACGCTTCAAGATACTTTGGACAAGAGTAAATCATCGTCCGAAGAGAATGACAAACTGAGGAATCGATTTGTCAGAACACTCGCTGATACTTGGAAAGAGAGTAAATCATCCTCCGCGGAAAAGAATAAACCGAAAAGTCGTCTAGTTCGGTTAACTAAAGATTCCATGAGCAAATCGTCGTCTGTAAAAAGCGGTGAGGTCCCTTTCTTTATTCGCGCTTACAAAGTTGAAGATGTCAGTCAACCGCAACGTACCACAGAGCAAATCAACAAACCGCACAATCGAGTGATTCGGTCGAAGGATAACAAGAAAGGGAAGAAGAAGAAGAAAAAGAAGAGTACAAAGACGAAGCGCCATTGCACGCCCAAGGCGACTACTGTGAGCGTAGATATCTTGGATCAAACGACGCTACCAACGGAATATCTTCCGGTTTAATAACATTAATTTTGATATTATATTTCTTTTACGTTAAAAATACGATACACGAAGAGATGCATTATATAAGTGATTTAAAATATTATTAAACTTGTGTGATTAATTAAATTCTTAAATCACATTAAATATACATGAATAAACAAATTGGTCTTCATTAATCGTCAAAGACTTTTATGAAAAAAAATTATATACAATCAAATGTAAACTTTATAATTAGACAAAACTGACATCAATAATTTCAATTATTAAATGTTTATTTTTATTAAAATATAACGCTTTAATAAAAAATGTTAATATAAAAACTAAAAAATCAAATTTTCTGCAGTATTGAAAGAAAAATTTAACAAATCTTCACTTTTCACGCTCATATATCCGAAAATTCTTGTCTTATTCGATTTGCAGCACGACTTAATTCACTCATATTCTCGGTTTAACGAACGGAAGCGAGAGATTTAAATTGCTCATTACATTAACCGCCCTCATGTTCACAATTCCAGTAAGAGTCTTTCTAACTCGCCGACGTATGTCGGTTTAACGAGGGCAGATTGCACGACAGGGCTATTCTGAAAGGGTACACGACGGTACTTACGTGCTCGATACACGTGATGAGTTCTCCTTACGTCGTGCCGTAAACGTGGCGGCTGTGTTCTTCACATTGACATCGCTATCGACAATCCAGTCCGGGCTGCTAGACGAAGCATCCAGGATTTTCACGCCGGACTTCACTCGCGCTCTGAAACATGCCATAAACGCACGATATTAATGTAAGTCAAGCAATGAACGGAAAGAGTAAGACGAAACGCCGATGTTACTGAATAGAAAAAAATCTCCCATAAAATATAATTAATCCTCTATTCTCTGCAGAGAAGTAAATATATCTCTTGTCTTAATTTGACAAAAGATTATTTCAAATGACTCGTTATTTAATAACTCTGCACGTGTAATCGGCTGTTGTGTAATGCAAAGATCTATCGTTGCCAATCATATACCAATTTAAATTTATATTTATTACTTATAGAGCTATTGTTCTCGAATCGCACGATTTAAATTGCGTTCGGAAGGTAATAGAGATAATTTTTCATAAGCTCACATTTCGCTTAAAACATATTTACGTGTGTATTCCAATATCTATTAGTATCAGATATCATAATATCAAATAACCTGTATTTCGTTCTTTTCAATTCTTTGGAAGATTTTTAATTGAATTTTATCAAAAATGAAAACATTATTCATGTTTGTCTTATCGTTATCGTTATCGTTTGTAATTCAATAATTTCAAGTGATACGCTAATCTTCCAATACGGAAGATCAATTTTCAACTGATAAACTTTCAGGAATTTCTACTAATGACTAACGTTCAAAATTGATGTAAAAAGTGTATTAAAGATGATAGATTATAAAGCGCATTCAAGAAAAAACAAGAAGGATAACATAACAAGTATGTTCAAAGAGGAAAAACACACACACACACACACAGACAAAATAAAAGTCACGTGCAAAGTTCACAAGAGTGTCTTTCCTACGATGACTTATACAAGTATCCAACTGCGCGATATTTTTACTCATATCACGTCGATCGACCCGCACGCATTTCACTGTACATTAGCTACGTTCTTCCGTCATTAAAAATGAATGAACATACAGTTCTTTACCGAAGCGAGACCCATTGCCCTCATGTTGCTCTAACAATAGCGTCAAGTATACTTATGTAGTCGTTGAGAGTTTTCCCTTACAAAAGTCACAAAATAACTACAGCTCATATTTCTTCACACTCAAGCCAATAACTGATATTTAATTAATTTCACGAGCAAGCAAAAAGTACATCCAAAAAGTATTTATATTTCTTTTATACATAACAATAATATACATTTAGCAGTTACGTAAACAAAAAAGGTAGATAAGATACGATATAAAATTAACGTCACTTCTCTACTCTCTCTCTCTCTCTCTCTGACATTGTATTCAATTATTTCCCTTAATCTTGCCAATTATCCTCGGCAAGTTGTCGGATGTAGATATCAGATTTCCGTTCGATTGGACTCTGATGCGCCGAGGACTCTTCACACATGGTACCACGCTTCGAGAATCGGTTCTCAGTTGTCATTGCAATAATACCGCGCTACTTCTCGTCGAGGCAATGTCGCGTGCACTCCGTTTCCAGCGCATCCGCGCCAATCCTCAAAGCCGGATTGAAATTTAAGCGGTACCGTCGCCGCGAAACGCAGCTGCAAGAAAGCGCGCGCGTCAATAATGCAGCGAACTTCACATGCATTTCGCGCTCTATCGTATGCGTGACACTTCTCGTCCACAATCTTTTTCTTCGTTGATTTTTATCGAATGATATTCAGGTTTCAGATCATAACCAAAGGTTTCAAAAAACGCAAAAGAAAAAGTTTGAGATAAAAAGAAATGCTAATAATGTTAAAAACAGCATGAATGACAAAGTACTTGCAAAAAGATTTTGATTAATTCGATAAACCTAACAATAAACAAAATTAATAATTTATTTTAGAATAAAAGAGTAATATAGAATAAAAAGAATAATATTTAATAAAGAATATACCAATTAAATACTTTTTTAATTTTATCAATTTAAAAAAAACAAAAATAAATTTTCTATATATATATTTATATACAGATTTTTCTAGAAAAAATAAATAAACAATAAAATCTCTATATTATTTGATAATTTTAAGTTTGACATTTTCAACATTTTCATTTTCAACAGACATTTTCAACAACATTTATTTTGACGTTTATCTTTACTTATACATTAGCATTTTTATTAACGAAACCATTATCTCTGAATTGGCCAAAGAATTCGCTGAAAGATTTAACAAAAAGCACATGTGGCAAGTTTGACACATTTGATATAAAACGGTATACGACAAATATCTTCGTGAACGTTCTTTTCAATCTCGAGATTTTCGCGTAGATTTCTGAAAAATTGCCAGTCACGAGGGAATCACGGACGATTACGCAGGAACATACATATATCCAGACAGAAAATTCGCGACATTCGTGCCGTTTGTCTTTGTCCTCATAGCATCGCCAGAGAGTATAAGGTCTTCCGCGACTATGCGAGAGACGTTTTCCTCATCATCGCCAAGTCGACTCACTCACACGAGTAAAAAGGCTGCGATTTCCTCGCTCCGAACTAACTCACGCTCTAGTTACATGACCGGGTCATAGGGTCGGATCATGTACGCGGTATACGGCGACAGAGGAGAGGAGAGGAATGCGGCTGAAGAAATGCGTCTGACGCCGCGATGCATAGATATATTCGCTATGATGCGACGTAATGTTACAGTATACTGCGGTTGACGCAGCAAATCATATTGTTGCGATACAGAATTGCGATTGAAGCTGAACAACAATCCGATTAAGATTATATATATATGTGTGTGTGTGTGTGTGTGTGTGTGTGTGTGTGTGTGTGTGTGTGTGTGTGTGTGTGTGTGTGTGTGTGTGTGTGTGCAATATGTCAAAGCTGTAAAACAATTATATAAGCATATTCAAGATTTCATATCGCTTTTCAGACAACTTCTTTTCTTGATATTTTCAGTAAAATTATTAATTAAAGTTTAAAATTATTTTTTGAACATATATAACGATAAAAGAGAAAATATTTTTCGTACTATCGAATGCCATACATTACAAGCTATATAATTTATTTACAACTTGTAAAACATGCACCATTGCGGTAATGTATCTTCTTAAGCTTCTGTTCGCGACCCCGACTAGAGCCTTCAACGTGGAGGAGATCGTTCTTAATTCAAGCTGAAACGGGAATTTTCGAGTGCGCGAATGCAATGTCACTCGGGCGGTAAGCGGATCTCGCGGTAGAAAAGTGCACCGAGTGGCTAATACGAACTTCGGTCCAAGCCAGACCGGATATTGCCTCTTCAAGTTCCTTCGGCGTGTTTGCCGAAGCCGAGGAAGCGGCCAGCTAATACGTATTTAAAGCCACTGCCATCGGCACTTCCCATAATAACTTAATTTGCCTTTTTCCCCTCTGGTAAAACGGGAACCTCTTATCACGCTTTTGCCATCGTCAGAGCGCATTTTCCCTTGTGCGTATTGCCATGTAATATTGGTGGATCAGTGAAAAGGAATCCAAGGCACGGGAACGATTACAAGAAACACGACATTTCCCCGAGATCCCGCTATAAAATATTCCTAAGGCGAAATGTCGCTCTAAGGCAAAGTCTGATTTCTTGTACGCGCGTTTGCAGCAAATACCCAGCAAGAGATACTGCGATATCGCGACAGTCGAGAATATTTGCGGTTAAAAATTCTCCAGGCAACGTTAATGCTCGTTCCCCAACTAACGAAGGAACAATCTGTTTCATTATATTATTGGCGTAACGACAAATGCAATATCAATATTTCATGTTGATATCGTACAGATGACTTCTTTCGCCGACGAAGTTTTAGATTAATCGGTTGCAAACTGTCGAGTTGAAGATCTTGCGGATGCTTCGCTTCAAAATTCCGCTGGCGTCAAACATTAAAGCATACAGCTTGCACTGCGGCGCATACTGTGCCGCATATTGCGGAGCATACCGCGGGCAACACACACACACGCGCGCGCGCGCGCACACTGTGTGATAACTTTGTCTCCACAATCATACCAACGATACGCAAACGTTCTTCCGAAAAGAACCCCTCGTTGTTCTCCACCTCGAGCATCATAATTTAAATGTACAAAAACAAGCGATAATTACTATCTCCGCGTGGTACAGTTCGCCTTCTCACTTCCGGCAATTAATTTACATATCTCCGATCTTAATCGTTTCGACGGATCCAAAACCTTAATTAAATTAAGCTAAGAGTAAATTAAGCTTCAGACAACAGCAGAGAAAAGCGTATGGTGCGCGTAACAAAAACCTAAGGCATAAAACGTCAATTTATTCCTCCTTGCGTACAACACCGTAAAGACTGGGAAGTGCTGCGTAAAAATTTATCGAAGTAACGAACAGAATTTCTCATACAATCTCTCTAGATACAATTCCTCTACATGTTTTTTATATTATTTATTCCGTATAACATTATACTCTCGCTATATATAAAGTTTCTTTTAAGTTCTTTTAATTTACTTACATTTTAAACCTTAATCAAATTTATATTCACTTAATAAGAAAAGAATGAGAAATGACGATAGAAGCGGTAAATCTTCTGAAGCAAAATCAAAGTCGAGCTGAGACGAAGCAACTTTTTAGATTTATCAGACTTTTCTTGCTAATTATATCGCGCTCATAAATGACAACAGAGTTGTAACTACGAGTTAAATGAGAATTAGTGGAACGGCGACACGAAAGGAGTGGATATTGGATCATCGTTAAACGGCGTTCAGGATGCCGGCCGGGAGAGTTAGGAGCGAGCCAATTACAAGTTCCAGATCAAGTTATTTCCGCGAGCCTATCTTGCATTTACATACAAATCGCCGATGTGCGAAGCGAGAGCCGGGGACGCTATCGGGAACGATCAGAAATGCATGCGCGCACGCTTTCACGCTGACGAATGGCCGAATGTCGCTTCAAAATTACCGTTTATTCAATAACTGCGCCCCTCTCTCCTCTCTCTTTCTCTCTCTCTCTGACCGTTGTTCATGTTTTGATCGATCAATCGATGTTGGTAGGATATCACGTACGGCTATATAGATAGTGAAGAAACAACTTCTGCGCGTGTATATATATATATGTAGGTACACACATACGCGCTAGAGGTGTGTGAATCAAGCATTTGCATGGTCGAATTGAATCGAATTTTTGATAACATGTTCGAAATCGAATCGAATCGAATCTGAATCAAATTTTCCCAGATTTACATTATATTATTATTTTCTATATTAATCTACATAGATACATTATATACATTAAAAATACATATTTATTAGATAAGAATAATTGATCGTGCGGGAGTTATAAATGAAGCAAAGAAAATAGGCGATCGATTCGAAATCGAAACAATGTTGATTCGAAATTCTCGAACTATTCGATTTCGAATCTTACAGATTCGAAAACGAACTCGAACCGAATCCACTGTGATTCGATTCGAATTCGAACTATTCGCACACCTCTAATACGCGCGCGTGCGCACGGGCGTGTGTGTGTTATAAAAAAGATTTTAAAAACTGAACTCGAGTATAGCACAACTCTGATCACGAATTGTTATCACGTACAGGCCTTTCAATCAGCGAGCAAAATAATTAGAAATAGATGTAAAGGAAAATTATGAACATTTTCCTCGATTAACATTTTAGCATTTACAATTAAAAGAAAGTGTGAGATAACTAAGGACTCTGCATAGCTGTTGCACCATTGAACGATGCAATATCGTAGGGGCACAGAGGCGAAGACCTATGGTCGGACTAGTGCGGCTTAAGAGGCGGCCGCGTAGGAAATCTACGGTTTAACGTGACGCTGTAAGAGCCTTAGATTAAGGTTGCGAGACATAAAAAGCGGGATAAAGCCCTCCCCCCTCGACGCGGACAAAGGCTACGATTAGCTCTCAGCAAGCTCTTTAACGCGTGAAGAAATTTTCGCTCAACTCGTCGTATTTCCTGAGGGCTTCTCTACGGGGTAATTTGGCGTTTAAAGTATTTAAGAGATTCGAACGAGCGTTCTTTTCCAAATTTTCGTATCTGGAATTACGTTTTAAATAAAAAAGAAACAAATAAAAAGAGCTAGAAGAAAAGAATCTGTCCTATTTACAATCGATCTCTTAAACGTCACGGTAACATACACGAAGATTTAATTGGAGGTCAAACTAATGGGTAATCTAATGTCACGTATAAACTATTCATTTTCGAGATAGGGCAACTAGTCGCGAAATTATGCAACAATAACGATAGAATACTATTTACAAACTAATAATGCACGTTTGTTAAACATATTACAATTTTATTATTTTGATCATAATGTTGCATGGCGAGATAAAATTCAAACAAATTAATCAAAGCCGGAAAAAATAAGCTTTCAACTTTATTAACACAAAACATACGTAAAACTTATTTGCATAAAAAATATTTCAAAATAATGTATGTATAGTGTATGTAAGTAAATTTTGCAATTTTCTATGTTTAGAAGATATTAGCATTACAGATAATGTGAAATAAATAAAAAATAAGAATTTATCTGCGTAAATAACTCAACTTTTGTAAAAATACAATTATCTTATTAATTCCGTAAAACTGCCGTCAAGGCTATGCAGTTACGCAAATTCTGCGTATATAAACAAACGCAGTTCTGCTTTAATTTTGAAATTGCTTCAGTACACAGAAATTATGAAGATGATTTCGATAACCTGCGACCTCCGTAATAAGTCCAACTATCGATACTATTTATCTTTCACGTTATCATCGTTCATATTACGACGTTTTGAATGCAAATTAAATAATAAAAATTACATGAATCATATTTCGAGGATGCTATAATCAATAAAACTTCAATTCGTTGACTATTTTTACAATTAGCGCAACATAGATAAAATTTTAACGAATAATACATACGAAGATTGATGCTCTATAAAACGCCAATTATAAATCGCGAGAGAATTTTTTTAAATTATTGATTTAATCCCTTAAAACTTAAGAATTTATATTAAAAAATTTATATTTCAAATAAGCTATATAATATTGGATTTTTTCACTTCATAATATTACGAAGGAGAAACTAATCATACAAATGATTTACGGTTGTGTCGTGCGCAGAAGCTTTTAATTTATATTTGTTTGCGAGATTTTAATAAGCTTCTCGGCAATAATGATTAAAGAAAGTTTATTAAATACTCTATTTTTCGCGTTACTGCTAAAAAAATCTAAATTATACTCCTATATAATTAATAAATAAACTCGCATGGTCTCGAAAGCATCATATTCAAAGAGAAGCGCAATTCGCAAATATAGAATCAAGCAGAAAGAGAAAATGAATTTTTAAAAATGCGTTATCATTTTTTTGTACGAGAAATTGTCACATGGCGCCTTACTCAATGTAAAAATAATATAAATCTTGATAAAATTTTTATCAAGAAAAAATCCACGTCAGCGATATGATTGTAGAATCAAAACACTCAATGTACTAAAATAATGTGCTAAAATAATGAAAGATTTCTTTGATGGATTTGCCATGATAATGCCATAATTGCGGTGGAAATAGCAGATTTTAAATATTTATGCTTACTGTGTCACAGCTAAAGCATCAAAGTTTTTATCATAGTAACACTCCATTTTTTTTACTAGAGACAGAGTTTTTGCTTACTAATTGTTCGTTAATCCATTAATTATTTAAGACCACTATGTATATGCAACGTCACCGACGTCGACGCTAGAACACCGAAGTCTTTATCATGATAGCACGCGTAAGTGCATGCAATAGCCTTTTAAGCGGTTCATGAATTTTGGAAGGATTCCGTAAATTTCCGCTAAATTATCTTTGATATATCTTCACGCATTATGTCATAATTAAAATATTACTGAAATATTATTAAAATTTATAAATTTTAAATAAAAAATATTTTTATTTTGAAAAATAAATATATAAATTTTTAATTAACAACAAGAGAAATAAAGAATTCCATGCAAATTAATTGTATGTCGTAACACGCGAATTAAAATTCAAGATATTTAAATTATTGAGAAATGCTAATCCGTTTTTCACGCGTGCGATATTCGCAGTACTATATATGTACATAACTGAAATGGTTAATCGATTAATTATATATTAAGCCTCACTACGTACGGATTTGTGAAGCCGATGCAACGTGTTTTTTTATTACAAAAAATGGAATGGAATAGATATGGAGCTTATAGTCCGTGACTCATAGTTTCGCTATAGTTCACCCCTGTGTGCACCCTATATGTGTCATTACACCACGGAACCTCAGTAACAGCGAGTTACAATGTTGGTTCAAGCATTTCGCGATTGTGCGACGCAAAAAGTCCTATCCCGACGACACCGGTTCGCATTCCCAACGGCGTGTAACAGAGTCAACGATGCGTTTCTCACGCGGATTGGCTGCCGTTGGTCTGTGCTCAAGTGTACCCCGCGTGTTAGTCGCAGTCGCGGAACTTCCGAGTGCTTACTAACAACAGACGAGCTTGTAACTTCGCTCGCCAGCTTACTTGACAATTCATCCAATTAGAGGATTTCCAGTCCCTCCCGACGGAACATTTCCGACCCACTTTCTGACCGCGCGAGAGTGGTCCCCTCGAGCTGGGATTTAAAAGCGCTTTCCGAGAGATGCGCGCGGCTAAAAAAAAGTAGATGCAAAGTGAATCTCAACGCGGAAATTGCGACTCTCGCGTTTAATCGCCTATTTGTCCGAAAGTGGTTAAACAAAATATCACGAGCGTGTTTGTACTCGCCGAAGCTAATCACAGTTTATTTGCGGATTTTCAAAGCGCAAATAGTTTATTCAACGTCATCAACGTAATTAATATTGACGAAAATTTACGAATTTACCTTCGATTAATATATTTCTTATCTAACTACATAAAAACGAGAGCTAGCAAATGAAAGATAAGAAATACCGCGGCTTGACGATCTCCCACTTTAATTTATCTTTCCTTTTTACACTTCCCATCATTAATTTGTCTTTAATTTGTAAGCAATAGATTTTACTATCGTCTCTCAAGATTCCTGGAAAATTCGCTGAGTTGCTTACCTTAAATAAACCGCGACGATCAATGGCGGTCGCTCCTGCCGCGGGTCCGTCCCCTTGACGGGATGCAGGAAGGCCGGGATGTGCAACCTGGACCTCGGATAAAGTGGTCCGTGCGGTACCAGCAACGTTAGCAAATCATCCGCTCTGAGTTCCTTGTAATCCGCCTTGTTGGGCGCGAGCGGCACTTGGCCCAGAGGAGTGACTGGCTGTATTTGCACTCTGGGTCTACAGAATCCTGATTCACCGGTAGCGTCGACCGAACCTCCCCCGCTGCCGCCGCCGCCGCCGCCGCCGCCGTTACCGCCACTACCAAGTCCCACCTCCTCCGTACGCGGTTCCAGCACGGAATAAGCAACCTGAATCAATCGTGGCAAACTTTTGGCGACCTTAACACGGCCGGAAGCATCGGGCGGCGGTAACGGTGCCCACCAATCGGCCGGTATGGTGATTTGCGCGAGGCACACGCCGTTCTCGCCGTCGGGGCTGCAGGCGGCCGTAAGCGCAGATGATGAAGACGAAGAGGAGGAGGAAGAGGAGGAAGAGTAGCCGTGTCCATTGCTGCTCCTACTTGCGGCATTGCCTCGCGATGGACTGGCCAGACTGGCATGCAACACCACACAGACCCGCTGATGCCGCGCCATCAGCAGCTGACGTCTACCACCGGCCTCGCTACCGGCATGGAAGAGCACCCTGAGTACGGGCGAGTCGCGCGGTACGCTATTGCCCACCAGGTGAGCTGACATGTCCAGATGACGAGCACCGAGCTCCTGCGCGTCTAGAATCGTCGCTGCCGTGAGATTGCGGCGCGTTTCTGGCCCCGGCAGTGCGTCCAGTGGATCGGGGACTATGTAACGCGCCGGTACGGTCTGTTTGGTGCTGAAAGGACCGTACGTGGCCCGCACCGATACCGGCTCGCTCGTCTGGAAGACGGTAAACTTGTCGATCGAGAGGACAGAGCCAGGCGGCGGCGACGGTACCGCACTTCCTGCATTGTTGTTGTTGTTATTGTTATTATTCGACACACCCGTAGATAGCGGCGGGATAGTATCCGACGTGCCACGGGCCGGATAATATTGTCGCGGTATATGCTTCAGAAAGAATCCACCGTCCTTATTCTCGAAGTGAACCTCCACTGATGCCGCCACGTCTGGAAAAATAAAAAGAAACGACATGGTCAAACACGAATCTCGAATCCGCTCTTGTTAGAATTAGCTGTTTTATAATTTCTTCTCGACATATTAGACACTTCGATTTTGACAACTTATTAATAACATAAAGCACGATTTTCTTCAGAAGTAATAAAATATTATTAATATTTTATAAATTTTATAAATAATGAAGTTTGTAATTTGTATAATATGTATCCCTAAGTATAAACATATACTAATGTAAAACATATTTATCCTATGTATATAGCATCTATATAATTCAAAATCATCTAGATTGGAGCCACTTAATTTTTATATTTCTTAAATGTCTTTAAATAATCTTTGGGCATCCGCGTTATCTTTTCTTTATTTCTTTCACTACTCGCCATTTTTCAATTTCGCAGATATTTCGCAGATATATATCTCGTATTCTTAAATATTGCCGTTGTGCCTTGGCCTTCAACGGCGGCGACGGAGACGGCGACGGCGACGGCGACGGCGACGACGACGGCGACGGCGACGACGACGGCGGCGGCGCGCGATTTCCACGGCAATAAATCACGGCGTTCAACGCGAAGTCGACAATTTTTCCTATCGCGTCGATGGTACACGACGCGACGAAGAATGGAGTCGCCGGGTTGGAGAGGCTGGCGCGCGCTCACGCGCATCCGAAAGTTGGCGCAGGTGAGCGTAGAAGTTGTAAATCGGTGGTAGGAGGATGCTGGCGGCGCGAGGGACGGCGCGGCTGCGCTCCATCCGGACATAAATTTCCGAGCAAATCCCGGAGTAAGCGCCAGCTGCCCGCACGGCCTCGCGTAAAATGGAGGAAAGCCTCGGAAAAGCGAGAAGAGGAGGCGAGGAGAGAAGCTCGAGCCGTTCCCCCTTCCCATCTTCGATTCGACCCTCGTCGCTTATCTCCCGTCTCACAGCGCCCCGTGGACCAACCCTCTCGTTTCTTCCGTGCTAACGTAGCTTCTATTTCAGCTTCTGTTTTCTTTTTTTTAGATCCGATAACAGGCGATTACGTTGAAATGATTTAGTGGGGTTTCAACGGGACTTATTGCTACATTGTAAAACGAATGAAGCACGGCGGAAATAGATAATATTATACGATGTATTCAGAGAAATGTTATTTGTTAATTTTAATTGCGGTTACTATGTGCTTTACGTGCGAATATTCTTCGTAGCATACACATGTATAGTTTTAATATCATCAATAATTTATGCAACGAAACATTGATTTATCAGCAGAAATATCAAATGACGGAACAAAGTTATTCTTTCTTACTAAATATTTAAATATGAGTTTGTATAAGACGTACTTTATATTTTTGCCGTCTATTGTACTGATGTATCCAACCGCGAAAATGAGACGCAATTTGCAGTTGGTGCATTTAATGATCTCCATTTAATTTCCATACTTTTGCGAATCATTCACCCTCTACATCGCTCTACACGTAATTAACCAGCATTCACGTGCACGCGTATACGCGTTTTCCGGTTTAACGCATCGACGAAATCTAACACGCGTTCAAGGTAGGATGGAAAAAAGGAGAGACAGCGGGAATAAATCGATCGTAAGAGCGGCTTTATTGGAGCGCTTATTTAACTACGTTGACAGGCATGGTCGATTACGAATTTATACGGCTCTACGCGCGTATATGACGTTTCCTCCAGTGGTCGGCGATCCCACAAAATAGACTCCTATCGGTCTGCGAATGAGGTGCCGGAATCGAGTGATCGAATATGACGGCCGGCCATCACTACCCCGTGATCGTTTTGGAAATACGTGGGTACGTCGAACCACTGATACATCTTCGGTTGGCTTTCGTCCAGCTCGTACTCCAAACAGCGTCTAGGAATGCTGCCAAGAGGTCGTTAGCACATTGTTCTTAAAAGTTTCGAATACTCGCGATAATACGTGGCTTTTTCGAATCATACTCTACGGTCGCATACATATATATATACATATACATATAGTAGTTTCTCACATTTCCAACAGTCATTATCGGAAATATACGCAGCATATTAGAAAAGAAAATATAAATACTATGCCTGCAGAATATTGCAAGGATTTCAAGTGAAAAATGTATTTACACGATGTAATTCTCGACGAGTATGATCTCGAAACAATGATCAGGAAACAAAGAAATTGGACACGATTTATATATACATAATATACATACGTATTAAATCGAATCGCGAAAAGATCGATGAATCTCTCGCGAGTGCCTAACCCATTTGAAAATCGAGCATCGACCCGCTACTTGCAAGGCTCTAATAAACTCACAGTGAATGCCGTTTGCAGCCAACGATGGGGTAGTCTTCGCGGAAGCACTTCGTATCTAACACGCTGAAGTAGAGGAAGCCGACCTTCGCGCTAACGAGTTCCTCCGAGCTGTGGAGACAGTCGTAGAACCTCTCATCGCACGAACAGTGTAGCCTGATTTTGCACATTTCACGACACTTTATCAGATTACTCGCTACAAAAAGCGACCTCGCTTCATTTCAATTTAAGATTACTTATAGAATTGTGAGAACGCGGAATGGTGATGTTTGTAAAAAATGCTTTAAGATTAAAGAATAAGATCGTAACGGATAATCGACGGATTTGTAGCAAGAATGAATGAAAAAGTCTGCTTTAAATACGAAATCGTACGTCTAAGTATTATAAATTAGGAGCTTAATTCTTCTTCTAAATTCTTCGTTTTAGTTTTTACATCGTATATTAATAAGAATCAACAATTACTAAAACTAATGATTTCTTTTACAATTTTTTGAATAACATTTCTTTGGCGCACATTTTTCCCACACGTGCAACAATAAGTATTTTTCATTAATAACTAATTAATAGACTTTGCGATATGTTTTAATTTTTTTTCCGCAAATGGGTTATTTGATATTTTGATGTTTTCCATAAAACTATATTCTATGTTAACATACCAATTAACATGAATATCACTTATATTTGCAATAGCTTCAAATTACTAACAGTAATAATACATAGAATATTTTTAATGTATTATAAGGCAAGCTTTTAAAAACGCTTTTTCCGTCCTATCGCATATCGTAAAAAAATTGCCTACGTAATTAATATACCAAGTTTGTAATAATGCGCGACGTCGTATATCAACGTCAGCCGCAACTATAGCAAGACACGCACAAAACTTGGTAAGTAACTGTTCCAGTTGTGTGAAATCGCACAACAGACTTGCTACTGCGGACTAGTTCATTGACTTCCTTCTACAATTGCTATTGAATCTTTCCGCATGACAAAATGATACACATATATATATATCTCAGTGCGACACATAATAACACGCATGGACAAAAACACTTGTATATTTCATAAAAAACAAAATATTAATTTTTTTCCATTTTTTTCATTCCAAGCACTTCGTATTCAACGTACCTAAACTTGGTCTATCTATATTGCATTTAGGTGTGTAACTATGCTTCCATTGGTTATCGATACTTGTAACATGACACGCGTACATGTTATACAAAATAACTATGATAGATAGCGTGTATACTAAAAAAAAAGGACATGTACATCTACACGAGTGCATCGCACACGAGTAAACAATATTTTTTTTCTGCTGTGCCACGAATTATATCAAGGTTCTTTAATAAAACTAATATGTTTTAATAAAAATAAGAGCAGACAGGATATAAAAATATCCATACTAAGTATAAATACCAACGATTCAAAAATATCGAGGATCGATCAACTTTAATCTTTTCGTTTCTTGATACATTTTGCAAAGAAGAATTAAGAAAGTATTTTCAACAAAATTTAATTAATATATTAGTTTTATATCTATCATCTCATCAAAATTAACATAAAGAACATTGTTTTAAATTAAAATTCACCTTGTGTAAAAAGCGGAATTGGTTAAGCCATACTTAGTCTGCATCGGTTCGATTATATCTTTGCAATTATCGTGTTCACGACAACATGCGTCAGTCATCGCGAATACTCCCAAATCGTCCGGACTATCCGCTATGTTACCACTGCCGCACCATTTTGTTCCTGATAAAAATTCAAACAAATGACAAAAGTTTTCTAAAAATTTTCTACATTTTCAACATACTAATGTCACAAAGAATTGCTATTTTACGGTAATAATTAAGACTCTTTATTCATGCAATCACGTTATATTATTGTGCAAAAAATTAAATCAATCTTTTTTTCCATGTTGAAACAAATTTTTTATGTATTGTTTACATGAAACAATAAAATAAATTGTTAAAATATACCGGACACTTCATTACTAGAAAAATTTAATCTATATTTGTGCGTCCTGTATTCTTTAGTAAAAATGAACTTTATGAAAGTCCAATGCAATTTTGTAGTATTTTCCAAGAATCGAAAAAAAGAGAGTCATCTATATAGTTTTTCAACAAATTCTATCAATTATGAATGATATGAATTATCTTGTCTTAATTGTATTACAAATTTTTATTTCTGATGTCACAATAATAAGGAATAAAAAAAATTAATTAACAATTATACTTTCTTCTTTTTTAAATAGAATTGTACACACGTACGTTATGTATATGGCTGTATTTTTTTATAAAAATATGTCACTTGAATGAATCCCACCTGGAAATATTAAGGCCGGCCGCAATGTGGTTTCGCGAAGTTCATTGCTGACGGTCTCGCTGTTGTTTGGAAATGCGATATGCCATCCGCGGATATTTCGGGATAGTAATAAAAGCACGGAAAATAACACAATAGTCGGAGTCATCGCGACGGAATCCTACTGTTGTTCTAACAAAGGTAGAAAAAAAGACTCCCTTTTATACAGTATAACGAGAACCTTCGTCCTTGCGCTCCATTTCATTTTTAAGCCATCTAATCGCTCGAGTTACGCTCGGCGTACGAAAGAGGCGACTATTGCGTTGTACGATGGACATTTGCATTTCCTGCGATGGAATTAATCTGCTTCGAGATAACAAAACCAAGTTCTAAAGGGAGAATTATCAAGGATCCTTCTTGACACATCTAAAAAAAAAACGCTGCACAAAGCAAACGACAAAGTTTGCGCGATAATCCAATATGATTAAAGTTAAATCCAATTTTTATGAAAGCTAAGGGTAAATTAACGATAGCGAATATTGAAAAGAAAGAAGCTCTGTGATATGTCAATGAATTGAATAAAATTACGTAAATATTATCAACAGTTATTTACTTGACAAAAATAATGAAAAGAAAAACGATAAAGAATGAAAATTTTGTAACAGTTATCTGTCTTTCTAATCAAACGTTAACGTAAATATTCAGAGGAAAAATTGGAAAACGATCTAGTAAAACGACGAGTGTCAATCCGGAATTTTTTATTACCATTAATAAAATCAACCAATAAATAATTGCATACGAATTTCGATGAAAATTACGTTTCACGCAATCATACAAGGAAGCTTCAAAAATTTATTTTCACGATAGATGAAAACGTTTTTTTTTTTCGTCGACGCACAGGTGATAGAGGTTTTTGAAATAGCATTTCTATGGGCAAACTTCTCCAGAGAGAAACGCGATTTCGAGTGCAGATTTAAATGGACCGGGATACTCTCATTTCGAAAACAAACGAAAAACTCGCCGGCCTTCTGTCTACCTTCGACTGGATTTTTGCCCTCCCCCCCCCCTCC